AGTCTGAAAAAACACCTTGATAAATGAGCAGGACTTCATGTTTTGTGACAGCAGCAAAGGCTGATGAGATAGGACATTACAATGGTTCTAGAAAAAAAAACCTATCTCACATGCGTTCAGTGGCCCATCTTTTTGCCTAGTTACACCCATGTGCCATTAGATTTCCCGGGTCAACCCCCACAAATCGTATCTCACCTGCTTTTAGTGGCCAAGGTTTTCCCTTGCTGCACCCATGTGCCATTAGATTTCCCAGGTCAAATCGTCAAATCCCCACAAGTCCTATCTCACCTGCTTTTAGTCGTCAATAGCTTCCCCTTGCTACACCCATGTGCCAGTTAGCCTTTCGAGGTCAAATCCCCACAAGTCCTATCTCATCTGCTTTTAGTCGTCGTTCTTTTTCCCTTGCCGCACCATGCGCCGGTCGACTTCCCAGGTGAAATCCCCACAAGTCCTATCTCATCTGCTTTTAGTGGTCGCTATTTTTCCCTTGTCGCACACATGTGCCATTAGATTTCCCAGGTCAAATCGTCAAATCCCCACAAGTCCTACCTCACTTGCTTTTAGTGGTCAATAGTTTTCCCTTGCTGCACCCATGTGCCAGTTAGACTTTCGAGGTCAAATCCCCACAAGTCTTATCTCATCTGCTTTTAGTCGTCGTTCTTTTTCCCTTGCCGCACCATGCGCCGCTCGATTTCCCAGGTCAAATCCCACAAGTCCTACCTCATCTGCTTTTAGTGGTCCCATTTCAGCTTTTTCTCATTTTATATCATTTTCCTGTTGTGTTTCCCCGTTGTGTCTCCCCGTGGAGGCGTTTGCAACTGCTGACCGTCCAGACCGTTCTGAGCAGTGAAGCTGTGGAGGCGAGCAGTTCCAAGCGCCTCCCGGAGAGATACAACGGAGAGACGCAACGGGTGCCATAGATTTCCCAGATCAAATCGTGAAATCTCCAGAAATCCTATCTCATCTGCTTTTAGTGGTCACTATTTTTCCCTTGCCGCACCCGTGTGCCAATAGATTTCCCAGCCCAAATCGTCAAATCTCCACAAATCCTATCTCATCTGCTTTTAGTGGTCGCTATTTTTCCCTTCCCATGTGCCATTAGATTTCCCAAGTCAAATCGTCAAATCTCCTTAAGTCCTATCTCATCTGCTTTTAGTGGTCGCTATTCAACTCTTTCTCATTTTACAGCATTTTCCTGTTGTGTCTCCCGTTGTGTCTCTCCGTTGTGTCTCCCCGGGGAGGCGTTTGCAACTGCTGACCGTCCATTTTCTGAGCAGTGAAGTTGCGGGGGCGAGCAGTTCCAAGCGCCTCCCCGGAGAGACACAACGGAGAGACACAACGGGTGCCATTGCATTTCCCAAATCAAATCGTCAAATCTCCACAAGTCTTATCTCATCTGCTTTTTGTGGTCGCTATTCTTCCCTTGCCGCACCCGTGTGCCATTAGATTTCCCAAGTTTTTAAATCGTCAAAACCCCCACAAGTCCTATCTCATCTGCTTTTAGTGGTCGCTATTTTTCCCTTGCCGCGCCCAAGTTTTTAAATCGTCAAAAAAACCCAACAAGTCCTATCTCATCTGCTTTTAGTGGTCGCTATGCAGCTTTTTCTTACTTTACATCATTTTCCTGTTGTGCCTCTCCGTTGTGTCTCTCCGTTGTGTCTCCCCGGGGAGGCGTTTGCAACTGCTGACCGTCCAGACCGTTCTGAGCAGTGAAGCTGTGGGGGCGAGCAGTTCCAAGCGCCTCCCCGGAGAGACGCAACGAAGAGACACAACGGGTGCCATTGCATTTCCCAAATCAAATCGTCAAATCTCCAGACATCCTATCTCATCTGCTTTTAGTGGTCGCTACTTTTCCCCTGCCGCACCCATGCGCCACTCGATTTCCCAGCTCAAATCCCCACAAGTCCTATCTCATCTGCTTTTAGTGGTCGCTATTTTTCCCGTGCCGCACCCGTGTGCCATTAGATTTCCAACGTCAGATCGTCAAACCCCCACAAGTCCTATCTCATCTGCTTTGTAGTGGTCGCTATTTTTCCCTTGCCGCACCCATGTGCCATTAGATTTCCCAAGTCAAATGGTCAAACCCCCACAAGTCCTATCTCATCTGCTTTTAATGGTCGCTATTTATCCCTTCCTTCCCAAGTCAAAGCGTCCAATCTCCACAAGTCCTATCTCATTTGCTTTCACACGGGGAAGGCTATCTTGACGCCCCTTTATTATCTGAGACGAGAGCTCCCGGAGGCTTGTGGGAAACTCCGGAGGTGCACGGCGAGACCGGTTACATTGCCTGCTTTTCGAGGTCAAATCCCCACAAGTCCTTTCTCATTTTCTTTTAAAATTTAATGGTCGATATTTTTCCCTTGCCGCACCCACGTGCCATTAGATTTCCCAGGCCAAATCCCCACAAGTCCTATCTCATCTGCTTTTACACGGGCAAGGGCGTCCAGGCATGATCAGGCATGTGACTTTCATTAAGTGTCCAGGGTCGAAAACCCACAAGTCCTATCTCATCTGGTTTTAGCGATCGCTATTTTTCCCTTGCCGCGCCCATGTGCCACTTGGATTTCCCAGATCAAATCGTCAAATCCCCACAAATCCTATCTCATGTGCTTTTACACGGGGACGGGTATTCTGGCGCCCCTTTATTACGTGACAAGTTTTGTGGAAAACTCCGGAGGTGCACAGCGAGAGAGGTCACATTGCCTCCGGGAGCTCCCCGTTACAGGTAACAACAGGGAGACACGCGGCCGTCCGTTCTCCGCAACCGTGTCGCTCCCCTTGACAGGCAACAACAGGGAGACACGCGGCCGTCCGTTCTCCGCGAGCCGTGTCGATTCCGGGTAAAGGGAACAACACTAGGGATAAAACGAGAAAATAGAAAAAGTCGCGTTCAGGAGCAATATTGCAATGGTAAAATTTTGCTTTGAGTTGGATATTTCCAAAAGGCATTTCTATCCATAAATTATGTCCACAACCGGTTTTGAAACATTCAGTGGTTCATTTTCAACGTTTTACCAAAAAAACAAGTTTAAAAAAAAAAACATTTTTTCAAAAACGCATTAAAAGTCTAGGGTCGAAAACCCACAAGTCCTATCTCATTTGCTTTAGTGGTCGCTATTTTTCCCTTGCCGCACCCATGTGCCATTAGATTTCACAGGTCCAATCGTCAAATCTCCACAAGTCCTATCTCATCTGCTTTTAGTGGTCCCTATTTTTCCTTTGCCGCGCCCATGTGCCATTAGATTTCCCAGGTCAAATCGTCAAATCTCCACAAGTCCTATCTCATGCTTTTAGAGGTCGTTTTTTTTTCCTTGCCGCACCCATGCTTTTAGATTTCCCAGGTCAAATCGTCAAATCTCCTTAAGTCCTATCTCATCTGCTTTTAGAGGTCGCTATTTTTCCCTTGCCGCGCCCATGCGCCATTAGATTTCTCTGGTCAAATCGTCAAATCCCCACAAGTCCTATCTCATCTGCTTTTAGAGGTCGCTATTTTTCCCTTGCCGCGCCCATGCGCCATTAGATTTCTCTGGTCAAATCGTCAAATCCCCACAAGTCCTATCTCATCTGCTTTTAGAGGTCGCTATTTTTCCCTTGCCGCGCCCATGCGCCATTAGATTTCTCTGGTCAAATCGTCAAATCCCCACAAGTCTTATCTCATCTGCTTTTACACGGGGAAGGGCATCCTGGCTCCCACTCCCCATTCTTATTTTTAACGGGAAGCTACCAGAGGCCATGTCGGAACCTCTGGAGGTGCACAGCGAGACCGGTTACAGGCAACAACAGGGAGACACGCGGCCGTCCGTTCTCCGCCAGCCGTGTCGCTTCCCGTTAGAGATAAAAACAGGGAGACACGTGGCCGTCCGTTCTCCGCGAGCCGTGTCGCTGCCCGTTATTAAAGCTAACAACAGTAGAGAAACAACGAGAAAATGAAAAAAGTTACGTTCAGTAGCCATTTACCATATTGCCAAATGGCTCAGGATGAAACCCATGAGATGGGAATTCTTCATGGGATATAGATGCTACAGTCCCAACACATGGGTTATGTGAACATACCCCAAATCAGCCCTAAGTCCTATCTCATGTGTCCAAACTGTAGCCTGTAGCATTAAAAACCATAAACCGTGGGAATGTACAAACTTGATGCAGGTAGCCTTCAAATGACTACTAGAACCACATGAGATAGGAGTTTGGCACCTTCAAAGGGCAAAAACAATACTTTACTCATGAGATGGGAAATCAAAAAAACTGGACCCTCCGACAACTCCTATCTCATCCGTACCTAGTATATATATATATATCTCTATCTATCTATCTATCGATCTATCTATCTATCTATCGATCTATCGATCTATCTATCTATCTATCTATCTATCTATATGTTGATTATGGAGCAACACTCCAACTGACCTCCGCCCAGTTCCACTTGAATGCAGTGACCCATTCGGTATCCCTTCACTCACCCGACGACAATCGGACTGCAGCCAGACCAAGTTACAAGTTTTCGGTGGGGTGATCACTGCCAACCTTGTCACCCCTGCTAAACAGCACTATTTAGCTTCCTCTTGACATTTTTTTTCTCTCAAACATCTGCCGCAACAAGTTCCGTTCACAAATTTCGGAAGCACAAATCTCTTCGAATAAAAAGCATCAGAAGCATCACAGGTTGCGGGCTGATCCATGGTTCCGCTCATCTACTCATCTACTCAGTCTGCGGGTAGAAGTGATGAACCTTCACTCGGAGGTTCTCTTCCAGCTGCCCAGTTTTCGCCAAGCTCGATTTGGTCTCGGCCCCGGGGTGCGCTGTTGATTTGAAGCATTTTCAGGGTTTCCGAAGTCCGGAAGGCCTATAGAATTGGCCCAACCCACATCAAACAGTCCCGAGTGGGGATAAGACCAGAGTCAACAGTGTAAAGATGTATCAGGAGCCACACGGAGCCACCAATCAAGTTCAGAGCCACATTTCAATCCATATCCCTGACTCACAACACTGAGATGCCGGCCCAGAGGTAGAGGGGGGTCTCAGCAAAGTGATCGTAGTTGTCGCCCACATATGGTGTGTGGAAGTAGCCCATCAAAATACCAAGACCTGACCACGCTTCCGCAATGTCAAGCTCGCAGCCGATGAAAACGGTTAACCCATCTTTCGGCAGGGGCAAACGTGTAGCCGGAGTCCCAACTGGCAGTATTGATTAGTTGATTATGTAAATGGTGCTATTATCATGTGGAGAAAAACATCACAACAATGATGGAAGCGATCATGGTGTGACAAAAATGCTGGTCATCATCATCACCACCACCACCATTATCGTGGTCGTCATCAGTGTTACGCCAAGAAACCCGTCAAGAAAGAGACCAGGTAGTACCAATAGAAGAAACGCACCTGTGCACGGAAAAAGTCCAGCCAATGCCGAAAAAGCGGAAGCCTTGAACAAGGATGGTTCAAGACTAGAGACTATGTTTTATTTGTAAAATTACATCATGTTTGTTACGATGACGTTAGCAACATCATATCAATGATCGCCTGACAAAAAATATGGCCGTGTCAATGGTGAACCATCATGTTGTTGAAATACCAACGACATCTATTGAGGCAATGTAGATGGTTTCATACACTGCAAAAATTGTCACAGTTTGAAAATTGAGGGATAGCACAAAACTAAAATTATGATGAAGACCAGATTTGACCGGACCAAATGTCATGCCATGTCCAAAATATATGATCATGCATATATATATATAATGTGCTAATGTAGAATAACGTAAAAATAATGTAGTACTGTCCTGTATAATGTAGTACAATGTAGCATAATGTAATATAATGTAATATTGTATTGTAATGTAATGTAATGTAGGTATGTATGTATGTATGGTATGGATGGGTGCATGCATGGATGTATGTGTGTGTAAATATCATGTCTATAACTTCACTGTTTGTCCTATGACATGATATCTGCATCAATATCATGTCATCTGGATGATTCATAATAACTCACCACCCTGAAATGAGCCGACTTGTGTGTAGCCCCCTTCCTCAGCATCTTGTCACCGAGCACGCTGAGGCAAACTAATATAGTTCCATGGTTCCAAGGATACGATCTACAAAGTTTACTGGAGGGTGCAATACTTGGAGTATCATCCCACTTAATAACTGGCAAGTAAGTGGGGTTATAAGTTATAAGCCAGTTATAAGTTACAAATGACGAATTTGACGAGGGCAACCAGGGTGCATCACTGGCCACATCCCTCGTGTCCCACCTTGTCCCGGGTCCAACGGGGGAAGAAGCGGAAGACCATATCCACAGGCAGGTAGGGCATGCTGTGGCTGCTGGCCTGCCGTGGAGTATATATGGATGGATGGATGCAAGCATGCATGTACCTACATACACGTGTACGTAGATACGTACGTATGCATGTTACATGCAAACAGTTGTACATATTTGCAAGAAAAAGTATATGTGTTTGATTTATATAATATATATATATAACTATAATTATATAACTATAATTATATAACTGATTATATATAACTATAATTATATAACTATAATTATATAACTGATTATATATAACTATAATTATATAACTATAATTATATATATATATGTTTTACATATATATATATACATAAATAATTTTCAATTTGACAGCGGCTTTACCGGTCGCCTGCAGGAGGCTGCTGGGCATCTTCGGCACGCGGAGCACCGTAGCGGCCGTGGCGGCGCGGCGCAGGGCGAAGTGCAGCACCATGGCGGGCCGTCGTTGAGCGCTGCCGAGGTGGTCGATGACGTTGCGCTTTTTTGAGCCACGCGGGGAGTAAAAAACCACGGATCACGGAGGGGTTGGTGGCGGCTGGTGGTCAAAAACAAGGAAAAGGCGGCTGTTTTGGATGAGAAAATGGGAAAATGGGAAATAGTTGAAAAATCTTGAAAGCACCAACCAAATGAAATCTGGTGGCCAAATGAGGCTCAAAGTTTTTTGGCTTTGCATTTTTGGGGCACCGGGTTTCGAGGGATCCGTGCATTCTGGGAAACACCCGTGGTGATTGGCCGGGAATGTTGTGGTGACGCAACCTACAGGATGAACAGCGCTACCGCTACCTTTTGGCCTCGGGCAAAGTCGCAGTGCACGCATGATGTTTCAGCGCGATTCTCAGTAATCCCCAACGTTCCTTAAGGCTGGTTGGGATGAATTTGATTTTTTCAAAGTTGAACCGTACACATTATGCCCATTAGGCATGTTGCGTGGCTTTATGGTAGGCAAACACATTTTTTGTGACTTGCTCCACCCATCACAGCGTCAGCCATTCGGCTGGTCAGTGAACTTGCAGCCATGGTCAGTGTGCCCTATGTGCCCTGTGCCACCAGGGCCAGGAAGGAGATCATGATTCGCAGCACTCATTGTTTTTTGTTACCCTCTGGTTATGACTAACATACAACCATGGAAAGATCCACCATGTTTATCCATTTTTAAGAACGGTAAACCATCTATTTCAATTAGGGCCATCGAAAAACCATGGCTATGTTAGTCATAACCAGAGGCTATGTGTTGCGATTTTTGGAAAACAGAAGTTTTGCACAGAAGATCCGCACTCTGGGATTTTTGTTGAAACATGTTGAAACATCTATTGGGAGATAATCATTCGTGTTGCTTAAAAAAACACATGTGTTGAGTTCAATCACGATTTGTGTTGATTGAATCATCGTTAATCATTCGGTTGGTTTTAAAATCTTTGCACCACTGGGGAGTTATCATCAATTTCACCAAGGACACACTAACCAGGACCCAACGCTTTTCGTCAGGGGGATTTTCCCCGGGTCAGCCGATGTCAGCCGGGAGCCAGTGCCAGTGAATCCAAAAAGCAGTTTTCCCATGTGTTTCCTCCGGTATCACGGCAATCACTCTGGTCATTAGGAGATGATGTGTCAACTGTGTCAACATGTTGATTTTTGGTGAGACATCACAGAAAGAAAACAAGGACTGGCATGGCCCAAAGCGACCGCCGAGTCGCAAGTGGGTTCTTGAAATGTCTTCACCCATCTCCGGCAATTCTGCTAGCATTTACCTTAGTGCCATCACAAAATGGCAGGTTGGGACACGCCCGTACAACTGAAGGCGCATATCTCAAAGTGGTTGTGGGGCATACCCAACATTTCGTGATCACCTCATGCGTTTCTTCGGAATTCATTACAGCAGTGGAACATTTCGGGTGCTTCAAACTTGAGGGGCGCAAGATATTGCATATATATATATGTGTGTGTGCGCGGGTCTGCATCAGGATATGTCTATCTGTCTATCTGTCTATCTGTCTATCTGTCTATCTGTCTATCTGTCTATCTGTCTATCTATCTATCTATCTATCTTATCCTATATATCTTATCTTGTCTTATCTTGTCTTATCTTATCTTATCTTATCTATCTTAGGGAACGTCCCACAAGATAGGTCCTTGGAAGATATGGTACCCCCATGTTGGCTGGACTTGTCACCCCGTTTTACTAAACATAAAACCCAGACACTATCGTGGCCCAGCCTTTCAGGATTTGCTGTCACTGCTTTCATGCATTTCTTCACATGTCTCCATGCATTTGAAGAGATCTAAAGAACTCATAGATTTCATAAATCCTGAATCCTAAAGCTGTTTTTGTTGAGCTCTTTAAGGCCAATGTCTTAGGATTTCCCCCAGGAAACCCAATGATTCGAGGTCCGATTTTACCTCAGTAGTTCTCGGCTGTCGAGGAGCAAAGAAAATTGCCTGGCACCATGAGAGGATTGTCCCGTCCACCAAATGAATAGATCCACGTCGAAACCAGTTTTTTTTCATATTCGGGGGGGAGGGATTGTCAGGGATTATCGTGTCTTTTTTTTGGCTGCTGGGTTGTGTTTTTCCCTGAAACCTAGGGAAGTACAGCATATTACCATATTACACCCCCGAAATTTCACATAGAAATCACAAAACGGGATGAGAGAAATGGATAGATCACTGATCCTACATCACCATGCCAGTTTCTTGGTGATTGTCTACCCCAGCTGGTGGTTCCACTTAAAAGCAGAAGCATAGAGCTGGGCTCCTGCAACTGAACAAACCGCGTTTTAGCACCACCAGTTGGTGAATTCGTCCAAACATCAACAGACACACCCAGAAGAACACATTCCACCTACCCTTTGAATATAACACACCCGCTGTAGGTGTGTTTGGGTCTTGCCTGAGGACCTGCGCTTAACATCCCCAAAGTTTCAACATGAGAGAAAAATGATCCTAGCAGGTCCATGATTTACCCAATAACAACTTCATGAGCACGCAAACTCTACAAAGAACATCAAAGAACCAACCCAGAAGAGTCTGTCAGTTTCATCCCCCATACCCCAACCATCCCCAGCGCACCTGCTCCCTGGTGTGCCATCCGCCGCCGGCACGGCCGCGGAAGGGGGTGCCGCTTCCACCGCTGGCACCGGCGGTGACGCCAGATCCGTCTCGGCAACTGTGGGTGCTTCAGCGTCGGCGGCGGCCTTGGTCGAACATCGGGGTGTTTCGCTGATTCAATGATCATGGTATATCATATCGGTATATCATAGCATATCATGGTATATCATGGTATATCATGGTATACCCCCCAAAAGTGGCTAATGATTCTAATGATGCGATAATCATTTTGGGGGATCATGATGATTTAGACCATAGCCGATGTTCAGATTGGACCTTCCCTTGCCCCGGCCTCTCCAGTATGCGTGGTCCGCCAAATGTCCTGGTTATCTCGGGAGAAGCGCCACGGGATGTACATCGCCCCGGCAACGAGCAAGCTTAGGATGGCGGCCACCACATAGCCTCAGCGCCCGAACTTGAGAACGGAAGTGACAAATGTGATACAGTAGTTGGTCGTTTTCTGCAGGAGAGTCATCTTCCAAACACATATTTGGGAAGAAGACTCGGATATCTTCAAAAGCGCTTTTCACACTTGGTCACTTTGGTGACCGTTCGACCGAAAGTGAGGCAGGTCTGTCCCTGCCAGTGACTCGAGTCTGGTTGGTGGTTGCTAGATGTTTCTAATTGCCATGGTCATTCACGGACGTGATTTTGATCGCAGTAAGTGGTTGGTACAGCTTCTGGCAGTGAGGGCTTTGTGGGGTAATTTGCTGAGAATTTCTGGAAATCCAGCGTATTCATCCATGTTCCCGGCAAGCCATTGAAGTGATAGGTAGCTGCAGAGAGGTTGCTGTGAGATTTGAAGAACCCAAATTGGATCGCGGCAGCCGCATCTGATCCGGAAAATTCATCATTATTATAGTTGAAATGATGGGGGAGAAAAAACATCAAAACATCAAGCTTATAATCCTGAACAAAATATTAGACTCATCAAGCTTAAAGAAAAAGTTTGGACACCAGAAACTTCATGAAAATCATCTATAATTAATCCATATTCCACCCAACAATCGTGAAACTGCAAAGCCAAACTCTGTTCTCTTCGACGCTTCCAAAACGTCATGGGGCTGACCGACATGGTGTAGAGGCCACTGACGGAGCGCAAGCACAGGGAAGAGGTCAACCTGGTCATCTCATCATGATTTGGGTCAACCTGGTAACCCCCGAAGAGATAGAAAATCCCACAAAAAATCATCAAAATCACAGAAAAATAATGGTGATTCATGTGTCTTTCCCATCAAAATCCGCAAAAAATAATGGTGATTCACTAATTCCGTTCTTTTTTGGGTGATTCACTATATCCCTATTTGAGACTGAAACAAACCAGCAACAACCACGGTTTTGATGGTGAATGAACCATCTATTATTGAGAGGGTCTGGGCCATTGTGATTACCTAGTCATGGTGGGTTAATGTCCATCCCCCTAAATTCATGGGTTAATCTAACCCAACTAACTTTGCGCAATTGCACATATGAAATCATGATCAAATATGATTCATAGTAGGACATAGTAGGACATTAAGCAGCTGATGATTGCTACGGTACCTGGAGATGATATGGGAGTAGTTGGACATACCTCCAAAAAAAATAACATAAACCCATGTCATCTGAATAAGTGCATGGTTGAAAATTACCACATGATTCAGGACCTCTGCGAATGGGCCCTATGTCACTTAAATGAACCTAATTGCAAACCATGTCATGTGAGCTACTTCACGCAACTTAGGTTTCACTCACTAACTACAAGAAATACCCCAGTAAATGTTCAGACTTCGACCCTGCCAGTCATCGGGCTTGGTTCAGATTAGTGAAACCACTCAAAATTGAGGTTATCTTCGGGGTCTGACGTGGCTGATGGGATGGTACGTTCCTTTTTTTGCATCACTTTATACGTACAGTTGCTTATCCTGAACATTGTGATGATTAGCAGCATTATTATTATTGCGTTTTTACTATTATTATTACTGATAGATATATATATATATATAGTTATTTAAAAAATGTGTCTAAAAGGAATAGGGTAAATTGGCGCACAAATTCCAGGTCATCTGCACCTACTTTGTAATAATTCGATGTTCTTACTTTATTATGCTTATTATAATTCTAGTTATCATTATGACTCTGACTTTCTGATTATCATCAAGGTTCTTATTATCGTTATATTATTATGGGTATGGGTCAAAATTAGGTACCCCAATAATTGGATGGTTAATACTAAACTAGACTAACATCTGTGGTCCCCTAGGTCTTCCCCTAGGTCCAGGATGCTAGGCCTGCTAGGCTTGTGCGGAGCGGCTGGTGCTTTTTTTTGATCAGAAAAATGTGTTCGTCTAAGATCAGGTTTATTTTTTTTAATACCTCTGGTTATTTAATACCTCTGGTTTATTTTTTTAATACCTCTAAATTCCACCATTTTTGATAGGTAAACCATCTATAAATTGGCAATTTTCCATGGCGAACTGTTAAATAACCAGAGGGTAATACCTCCCTTAGCACGTAGCACTTGAATAAAAATATCATTAAAAATGTCCTGGAAACCTGAAGAAAAACATGGAAAAAAAATGGACTTCACCTTGCCAAGGAACCCAGACCAAAACTCTCGCATGAAGGAACAGTGCAAGCCGTTGAGGAGGATGTTCTCAGGTGCTGGCAGCTTCTGAGGAGAAAAAAAACCTTCGAACAAACTGATATATAATATATACATAATATATACATAAGATATACATAAGATACAGATATTTATCTAACTTAGATCACTTATTATAGATACATGCGTGTGTGTGTGTGTGTGCGCCTTGTATATACATATTCTACATATGACATACGCATATACATGCGCTCATGAATAATTCTGATATCCAAACCTGCCTTCGGTTGGTCATTTGATGCGTCCATGTCAACTCTGGATCCATCCCTGGTCCTACCATAGCGGCCATAGCGATAAGGGATGTGATCCCAGGGTCTCATTCCTCCAAAATCATCACATAAAATGTCCATCTAAGAGCTCCTAATTCTCCATTCTACTGTTGTGTTCTTGGGCTCCCCATTGGGAATAAGGATCGAAAACCAGAGCTCCAAACCATCCAAGGATATCCAAGGATCGAGGGGGTTGAGGATGTTCTCCTCCACCAATCTTCGCAGGGTGATCATGATCGTATCGACAATGCCGTCCACCGTCAAGTCCAAAAAGTGCAGGCCACTACGAATGAGCTCCTCAAAGCCACTGATCCTTAGGGGGAGAAGGAAAATATGAAGAAACAAATACCATGTTTCAACCCAAAGCTGGGGTTAATTGATGTTAATTGGTTTAGACTTGAGTTTCTATTTCTCATAAGTGTCTTTTATCTTTGACAGAGTGCGTTGCGGATAGTTTGACCTCCCAAAGTTCGCGGCTGGGACGGACTTCAAAGAGGTTTTAAGGGCTGATTTTCCATCGCTATGCTAAATTCCTGGAGGGTAACTCATCAAATGTCTCCGAGTTTGGCGGAAAGAACAATCAACACCAACTGGTAGCCGCAAGGACATTCCACCAAGGATCTGGGCAGCAAACTCGTCCACGGTGCAACCTACAATGAAGGTTTCCATGCTGCCATTGGGAAAGATGCACTGCGCATCCTCAGCAGTTGAGCAAGTTTGAAGGGTGGAGGGACTTTCCCTTAAAAAACCTCTTCTGATCACATGAGTATGGGCCATGGCCATATGGGTCACAGGTCACAACATTCACAAACATTCACAATCCCTTTTTTTCTCACACCATAGGTGCAGCCCATCATGAGATCATGGGGAACATATCAAGTTCTTGGCGTCTTCGGTGACGCCCCTTGCCACCCAGCATCGCCAAAGCTCATGTTGCTAATCTCGCAAGGAGTGCCCCAGGGCTCACTCGGTTTCCTCAACAAAAAAACCAATGGTTCAACCGTTCAACCCAAAAAAAAAAAAACTCGGCTCAGATGATTGACAGCCAGCCATCTGAAATGCCAGAAAAACCACCATAAATATCATAAATCCTTTGGGGATTTCCCAGCGTTTGTGCTGGATGGTAGTTGTTTAACGGATCATCCCAAATATGATCAATTCATGAACATGCAATCCAACTTGGTGAGGGTTCCGGGGCTTCATTGAGGGGTGCACGAGTTAAAAAAGACCCAGCGATTGGGTTGGGCTTTTCGAAAACTGACCGTAGAATTGGTTTGAAGATTTTGAAGCAAAATGTCACTAGAAATCCCAACATCTTTGACGAAGGGGACCTGCGATGACCAGGGGGGTTGTAACCAGTTACGGTTTCTCGGATGATGCTCTGGCGAAATGAACCCAGAAATCATGGGTTCCAGCTTGATGTGTGCCATGTTCAGTTGGACTATATTGGCCCTAACTTGGCCATGGCTGGGGTGCATTTGTTTAAATTCCCTTCGTTTTATACACCCCCAGAAACCCTGGTTTAGTACGGATAGTCGGGGATTCGCACATATCTGGGATGGAATGGGGGTGTTTCAGATTGGGATGGGATTCATCGGGGGATATCACCTTCTCAAGGAGTTCAAGAGAGCTAAAGGCGAGTAAGCTACAACTCCGCTCAGCGGATTTCTTGGTGTTTTTGTTCCGCACTTGGATGTGCATCCCAACTAGCAACTGGAATCATAAGCCGCATTAGGCCGCATTAGTCCAAGTGGGGATATCCCAGCCAAATTGTTGCTGGTTATAATCACCATGACTTTGACTTTAACTAATCACTGGCACGATCCGGTCCCGTCCCCTTCCTAACCATCATAAATTGTGCAGATGATGCAAGTCTCTGAAAGAACCTGCAATTGAAGACCGGGTTCTGCTGCAAGGGCAATTTCTTTTCCTCCTAGGTGCTGCTTGGCATATCAACCGTTTGGAGCAATCGTCACTGGTCCAGGGGCAACATACCCAGAAATTCCCAATGACTCACTTTACCCCTGGCTCAATGGTCAAGTATCACTGCTATGACGGTTGAAATGGGTCTCAGGGATGTACAACCAGCCAAATGTGGTGGGTTTCCTGTACATTATCGCTTCAACATTTTTTACGAATTCCAAGAAATCGGGAGCCGTTGGCAACGGAAATGGTGATATATCAGTGACTTTTTGCCATACATGCTGCAGAGAAGCGGGTACCAACAATGATTCGTTAATATTCAGCATCCCCCAAGCCGGCGCAATGTCAAGCCGGCCGGTTTCGCCAAGGTATCCGGGTACATCCGATTGACATCCGATCGCCATCCGAAAATCCACCGGATCACGAAAAATGCCTTTCTGTTTCTCATGGTTTCTCGAAAAAAAATATGGTATCTGGTATTATCTGGTGGGTTGAGCAAGGAAAAATTGCAGCCAATTGGGACACCCAAGCATTAAAAGAACGACAGCTTCATCATGATCATCTTCCATCATCCCCATTGAAAACAAATGAGGTAAACCCAATAGCAAACCATCCCCTTCGGAATACGCTTAAAAACATCATGGAAAACCCTATCATTTTGATGACGTCAATCCCTTTTTCTGTAGCATGGTCAAAACATGTCATGCTACATGTCATAGATTCTATGTGGTTTGGTCATCCCATGGGAATCTACACATCATGGGTATTCAATGATCCCTATTCAAATGGATTGATGTTCACCTTAAGTTCACCCACCAACCACCATCGTGTTCACACCCACCCAATCCATGGCTAAGACGGCTAAGACGCCAGGAAGGCAAGCCCGGCTCGGCAGGCCGCTGCGGTGCCCGCGTTGGAGGCGGGGGCAGTGCCACCTGGAGCATATGTTCAGGACAAAGATGGCAGGGATTGAAAAAGTGTTATGACCTCAAAAACATGCTCTCTTTGCACCAAAAAAATGGACACCCATATGTATCTACATCTAAAGGCATATCTAAATCCATAGCTATATCTAAATCTATGTTTATCTCTCTTTCTCTCTATTTTTCTCTCTGTTTCTCTATCTGTCTGTCTGCCTGCCTGCCTCCCTGCCTGTCTGTCTGTCTGTCTGTCTGTCTTTCTGTCTATCTATATATCTATCCATCCATCTATATATCTATCCATCCATCCATCCATCTATCTATCTACCTGATCTAATCTGATATAATCGGACCTAGTCTAATCTAATATGATGTAGTCTAATGTACGTAATTTACAATAATACAATCTATCTACTCTTATATATAGACAAAATAAAGCAACAATCGGATTGACAATTAAATGCATGGATAAACATATCAAAGTTGTACCTGTGCATATGTATATTATCCCCAGTATATGTCCATTTTATATAATTTTATCCCATCAAATCCCAAGAGTTTTTGTTGATCAAATTCTCATTTTCTGATGGTTCATCCCAACAACGAAACACCAAAATCCATGTGATTTTACCATTTTTACCACCAATTCAGGCTCGGAAACCCTTCAAAATCCATCAAAAAATGCTGGCCCCAGCCACCCTGCTGGACCACATCTGGCCGAGCCCTTTTTTAGCCAAGCCACAGGTGCCCTCAGAAAAGCCCGCAGGGCAGCTCCAATTCTGTGTCAACATGTCACTTTCGAGGCCGTGCACTTGAATCCTTGAGTTCGACATCGGAGACTGATTTGATGGGAACAAAATAGTGAATAATATTGAGGAAATTCTGGGAAAATATGAGAAACATGTCTGAAAAAATGTAGGGAATATAGTTTACTAGTTCCCAAGACTCATAGTTTGCTTGGCCGAAGAAGCTTTGCCGGGACCACATATCTAGCCACGAGATCTCTAATTTATATGGGGGTGTGGATGTACCCAACCTGCCAGGAAATTTGATTGCACGAATTGAAGTCGACCATGAAGGCAGTTGTTGAACGAACCAAGACGGGGAGAAACCCATGAGATTGGAATACTTGCCCGAGGTAATCTAAGCTTGCTGCCTGGAAAATAAGTCTTACACCCTTGAAAATTGATTTTCCCACTGAAGTAATGTCCTTTAAGCGAGCAGGTCTCCCTGCTGATAGTTGAGGACGGAAATCCAAGCCAAAGATGATCTTCGAGAAAAAGTGCCCCGGATATCTCTTTTAAGAACTTGCACATGAAACTCTTGGGAAGAATGGAGGGGGCCATTTGGCATACCGTTCACCAGGATCTACCTGCAGGTTGTGAACCCTCTATTTTATACCCCATTTCCAGAGACACCCGAATCGCACGAAGTTGTCCATTTATCCAAATACCCGAAGTTGGTGCTCCCCAGTTTTGCGTTGGTTTAACCCCATTGAGTGTGGATATATGATATATCATGATATGTCTCCCATTCACGGTAAATCACTCGGATCCGCCGCGGGGCTGCGTGTCCGGAAATTCCGTCGGAAGGACCACTTTGAATTCATTCCCCGTCGCCAATTCATCTCCTGTCGTCCTGACCACGAAGTAACCTGGCCAATGGGTGCCCGTCATTTTCTAGCGGGGAGGGCAAATGGAAGCGTGCATTGAACGACATAAGAACATAAGGATACCTAAGGTTTAATACGAAAACAATAAATACCCTACTAAAATCATGATGAATCATATACTAAACTCCATCTTTTTGGGGTTACTACATGCAATTAGAAAAATGGAAAAATAAGACATATCAATATCATCCCACACTTATCTCAGCCTGCTGGGTCAAAGGATGTGGATGTGAACCCAAACCCAGTACGGGGCTCCAATCACATCTTCAAGATGATTATCGCGTTTGTCCCACTCAGATCTGCACGAACTGCAGAATAATCCAACAGAAATAATCTAAGCAAATTACTATGATTCCCAAATCAGAAATAGTCGCCAATTTCGGGACAATTCCCCCTGACCAGGATTCGTGGTGCCCTCGGTGTCATGTCTGGTCTGAATTATTCATAGTGTTTCCCATCCAAGAGATGTGTAAAGTTTGCAAACCTGTGGCCATGTTGAAAGACCCCTAAAAAGTGTCCGTCTTCCGTGCTGCAATCCTCAAGCAAACATGTGGGCATGAGTCCAAGTTCAGTCCAAGGTACAGAAAAATCGTTCACACTTGATCATCGACTCTAAACTCGCTTAAAATTTGACTGATTAGTGGTCTTCCTATGTTCAAAAGGGCTTTGTCATTTCATCATACACGGGGTGCTTTCGCGATGCTTTCGCAACCACACTCTCACCTTTCGCGCGGTAAATATTCACAAGATCTGCTTTCGCGGAGCTCGCCGTATTTTGTTGGATGCAATCTTACATGTGTAAAATATCTGCCAATTTGAGACTTTCGCGAAGCTTTCGCGACGGTGTCTGTCAACTTGGCTTTTGTTAGGCTTTGGCGAAGCTTTCGCGAGTTGGGTTTTTGCTTTCGCGAACGTTCTGCAGTTTAAGCCCACTGTTTGCCCTCTAGGGTTTTGAACACTGCTCCCTGAAAGTCTTCCTCATTCACCATCTTTATAATCATCATGATCATATCATCCAGAGCAGGTATGTATGAAAATCCTTTTTTCAAGCTGCATCAACAAAAATTCAGAACTGGAAGAAACAGTATTGAAACAAGATTCAAATGTATCCAATGGTCTTAATTAAATCATCAAATATGAAGCAGATTTAAAAGACCATTGGAAAAGACCATTGGAAAAGAAGCAGATGCATCATTGGAAGTTTCCATTGGTTTTTCATCTATCTGCATATGGTTTCCATTGGAAAAGACCATCAAAGACCATTGGAAAAGACCATTGGAAGTTTTCCACTTTGAAACCACCCAGCGCAGCGGCGCACCGTCCATAGCCATGGAATCCATGCCAGGTACCCGCCTCAGCGAAAAAGGCTATGGCTGAGGTCAAAGATGCAACAAACCACGACTTGCCATGTCTAGTGCTAAAATCATGGTCAGTAGTCAATATATTGGCAGATATATGTGAATATGGATATAGGATTGGTGCATTTGGGTCTTCTTAGTAATTTGTTGGTAAATATATATATATAATATATATAATATATATATATATACATATAATATATATATATACATATATAATATATATATATATACAGTAAATCCAAAAACTTGGCAAGGTCTTGGTGCCCTCATTTCTCGTCGTTTTTTCGCATACTCCGAGATCTTCCCTGTTCTCCAAGCGTCAGATTCGCCAATGGCCCTGGCAGGTCGGGGCTCAGCAAAGTATCGGGGCAGTTCAAGGTCACCAGGTGATACGCTGGGTTCATCGCCTGGCCGGCGGAAAGGTCACGATGAGTTTGACACAAAATGGAGGGGAAAAGGACTTGGAAAGCTTCTGACCAATTTGGAAGCTTCTTGAAGTCTTTTTGTTCATGGTTTCACCATGTGGCATCTAAAGGATTGCTCGGGGGCTCGGTTCGACCCACATTTCTATTGGGAAACATCCAATAGAAATAGCGGGTTGACCTCTTTTTTGACCTCTCTTCGGGGTCACGCCAAGGCACACGATATCGGGGGTCCACCAGAATCTCTGTAGGGTCGGACCTGAGTTTTTTCTGGATGATGGATCTTGGTCATCCCAATAGTTCCAGTTGAGCATCCTGGAAATCGGTGAGACCATCCCCTGCACCAAACCTCTGGTACCCAAATTCCTGTTGTCCCTGTTTTCTGAACGTAGACCATCCACGTATGTTGGTTTAACATGGTTTGTTGACAAAGCCAACTGGTTAACTCTCTGGTTCCATCAGCTCCATCAAGGCGCCAGATCAGGGATCTCATGTTGATGTCCCCTATGACCTTCAACACCATGTTCACCTGCGAGGAACGAGGAAAAAAGAGGAACCAAACCACCTGGCGGCTTCAGCCGCACCGAGCGAGCTGAAAAGGGCACCTCTGTTTGTTGGGGAACCTCTTTTTCGAAAAACCCATGGTTTATAGTTTCCATCTTGTGCCATGACCACGCTTCTGCTGGAAGGTCTACTTCTCCCCATATCGCCATGACTCAAAAATGGCCAAATTGGACCCAGAAAATGTGTATTTCTATGCAATTGTTACATTGTTCTTATATGGTGTTATTAAACCATCCAAGTGTTTGGGGGGCGACCCTCGAATAGGATCCCAAACGAGTTGAGCTCCAAAATCATCCGAACGAGATCCCAGCTATTCAGGTTACATATTGAATCTAGGGCCTAGATGGGCCTAGGGGTTTTGTTGGCTAAGCTGGCTTATAAGTAGTGTAACTAGGAGTTATGGTAGATGTATTAAACTAGTTCCCGCATATTCATGCGGCTTACAAACCAGCAAACACAACTTTCTGGTGCCAACTTTATCAACCCCAGATTAACAAGCCCTGGTTAATGAATTGGGGGTGTTACCCCAAAAAGCAATCTAACTGCGATCCCAGTTTAAGGTCCAGCAGCTAAATGTGCACGCCAGAAAAAAAAAATGATATAGAATAACATGTTATAACACCCATTAAATACAGTTATAGATTATCATATTGCCATAAACCCAGTTATTTCACCAAGAGTTAACCGTCATCATCCGTCGTCTCCAACCAAGCCCCAACAGCACCACCTCGGAGGAGAAAATCTGGCCTCAGGCATCGTGGACACGGTGGGAATCAATGCTTCGTACTCATCCAGTTTGGCAAAGGCATCCTGCGGGCGGTGTTGAATTTGTTGGGTGGGAAAAGTTGAAGATGGGTAAGATGGGTATCAAGGCGGATGTCATCCAGAGTTTGCTTCTCGATTTTTTGGCGGGAAAGCAGGCGAGAGATGGGAATTGAGCTCTAAAATGGAGAGCCAACCCAGAAAAATGCCCATTTTGATCGCGAAGAAGGAGGATTTACTCTCCATCAACTTAGATGTGCATCCCGCTTGAAAGTGCTTCAGTGCGGCGTGTACTCAGTCAATGCGATATTTGGGGGGCCAATCCACCTTCCTCTGCAGCAAGTTGGTTTAACGTGGTAATCATGGCTGGGAAATCCCCAGCGCAAAAAAATGGGAAAATCATAGTAGTCATAGTAGTTTAAATCATCCAGCACTCGTGGAAAATCCAACAAATCATTTATAAATGGTTAGAAATTCCCAGCAAGTTGGTGGCATCCGTAACTTATTTGTCCCAAGGTTTTTTTATACTGAAATTCGTGACCTCCAATGGCCTTTCCGTTCATCGCTCAGGAGCTGCTACCAGGTGGAGTTAGTGAACTGGTGAATAACTGAGAACTGGATCCTACTAGTGGGTTGTATCCCACATCTTCCGGCTTTGTTCAAAGAACTTTGGCAATTTGGGGTATGGTTGCTTCACCCAAATTCCACAAACTAGCCCCAATGTACCAAACAAAAAATATCATAAATAATTCCCAAATGTCCTATAAATCCTAAAATTCGTCCAAAATCCTATCCTGTTGGGCCATCATTCGCATTTACACCATATGATAAACAATTTCAACATGATAAACTTTATGATCATCTTCCAAAATTCTCCCAGAGAATTTACGTCATCACGTCGAGTCAATCAAGGCCATCAAGGCCGCCCACTGTGTGGCTCCTGGATGGGTTTGATGGCCAGCTCAATGATTTCCTTCCTTGGGGTGCTCATCTCGCCTACAAAAAAGGCGTCCCACGATCTCGGAAAATGGGGAAAACCCACTTGGATTTCAGTCGTGAAAATGGGAAAGCTGATGATATTTGCCGCTGGATTCATGGTGGATTTTGCAAATCTCATTTTGGGCTGAAATTTCAGATGAAGGGTCCTGAGGGGTCTATAGTTTTTCCCGGAAGATGTTGGTTTCCAAGGTCAAGTCCCAATCCACCTGCTGGCCGCATGCCTCCAAAATGTCTAGATGCTTGGTGGGTCCAACCTATTCCAGCCTTTAAAATGTTCATGCTGTGTAGGATTCACCGGCCAAACGCCTTATGAAATCCCGTTTTCTAGGCATGGACTTTGGCGGATTTCAAGGTCAAGGACCTTGAAGTTTACATCACTTTTCACACAGAGCCACACTGTTCGCATGGCCAATGGTTGGTCAGCCATTCTGTCTAACATCTAACAACCACTACAATGCACTTTAGAGCGTATCCAAAATAACCACTAAGAGAAACCATAAATAACCATAAATAACCACTATAAGTATCCAGTTCTTTAGCAGTTGTTCTTTGTGAAAAACCAGTCATCATCTCATCATTCGCACCTGGGAAGGTGGGATTCACCTTGGGGATGGGGATCAAATCCACCAGGTTCCGGTTCGCGTTCTCCGCCCCCTGCCGATCGAATCGGTGCTTTTGAGGGATCCATCGGATGGTATTGACAGAGGGTTAGACTCTTAGAATCACCCATTTACAACATTTTACAACTGGGGAAACTGCTCATTGATGTTCAATTGTAACTAAATATACTAAATATACTAAATATACTAAATATACTAAATATACTAAATATACAAAATATTTTTGTGGGGTGGTATGTCAAGTAATAACACAAGATTCATTGATTTGTTCACCAAAAAAACACCTATGAACGTCTGGGAAGGAATGTTGAATGCTCTTTTTTCGCCTGCAAAAACCAGGGGTTCACCACTAAGAACTCAAAAAAATGCATGTCAACACTGCATGGGGATTAAAACAAATCCTCGGCTGCAAAATCAAAGATATTGAAGATTTCTCCCAGAGATTTCACCCAAAAATGCCATGGGCATTTTAGGCCAAACGCCCCAAAAAAATTCTCAGCCGCAGGAGTTTGAGGGTAACCACCTGGCACCATGGCCCGCCCATGGTACCATGGCACCATGGGCACCTTGAGACTCATGCACTGGTCCGAGAGATTCAGCGCCATGTCCAAATACTCATCCAGCTCGGCGGACTCCATACCCGAAGCCACCAGCAGCCGCTTGCCCACCTGTGGCGGATTTGTGGGTATGGTAACGGCGCTAAAGCCACCAGAAATGGTGATATCTACCATTAAAGCCAAAGGAAATCATGATAACTGACAGAAACATCCATAAACCCAAGAGTTTATATCAGTTTATACTAGTTCGAAACCAACTTAGCTATGGGACACCACCTTGTAGGAATCACCAGGGGCATATGAAGCGATGCCCCCTTTTCCCCGGGGGGTTGACCTTCGGCACATGTTTAGTCATTATCCATGAGGACTTTCCCATGTTTATCCCCAAATACTAAATGCAACCCAGAAACCCTGTTTTTTATGTTTATTTCGTATTTGGAGATGTTCATTTTGGGGCTCTAACATTTCATAGAAACCCCCAAAAATAGAAAAGAAGAGAACAACAAAACCAGATCTACAATAGCGATCTTCTGAATCTTAATATTTGGGGATGGAATATTTTGAGTGGGTAATCCAATCAGGTCCCAAGCATCGCTCTGAGTCAAAACCTGTCAAAACCCTGGTTTTCACCTCAAAAAATAACTCGCAAATGGATATGCATCTCCCCAACCCCCCAACCTTCTGGAAACGCATGGGTTTTGACATGTTTTGACCTATCCTCAACAATCAAAATGCGGATTGAACCATCAAAATGGACCCGAGCGTTGCTGGGTGTTTACCCCTACTGAAGACCCATTCAAGACAATAACTTAATTGCTCAAATCCCTATACACTATGGTTCATGATTGGTCTTACCTCGGCAAAAAAAATTGTTATTGTGGAATATATCCCTTTATACCAACATATGCCAATACTAAGCCCCTATCATTAGTTACCCCCTACTAAGTCCACTGAGATAAAACAAGTGGTTCCCTTTCAGCAGTGATTTCTATCCATGATTCCATGGCGACATCGACCGCCTCTCGGTCATAGTCCAGCATCACCAAGCAGACGCCGCTACCCACGGTGGACAGGATCGTAATGATGCCGCCCAGAAGCAACCTGGAGGAGAATCCCAGTGGCAACCTGTGATAGGAGGATCAAAAAAAGACAGACAATCGTTTAAATAAAGATGCTTCTATGGCGTTCTGTATTTAAATATATATATATATATGTACAGATATAGATATAGATATAGATATAGATACAGATATAGATATAGATATAGATATAGCGTGGCTGGACTAGCCAATCTTTGTTGGGATTAAAAGAGGGGGGACTTTAAGCAACATGAACTTGGAGATTTCGGTGATAAAAATGGATGACATTCCATGGAGGAATCAGGTGGAATCAAATGACCCCTTTTTTTGTTGGTGACAGCTATGAGCCATGAGAGCTGATGGTCCTCAAAAAGGGCTGTTGAAAATGTTTATCACCCACATTTGTACTGCTCCAGGGATTCGAGGGGTCACAATCACCACTCATCAAACATCTGGAATTGTAGCCGACCAAACTTTTGGATGAAATTTGACTGTGTAATTTCACCCCACTGTTGGAAAGCCCTCCATGTTCCAATCTGCTAACCAGCGCCTCAAGACCTTCCAGCCACGACCAAGCAACAGGAGCATGGTATAGCAGTAGGAGCTACACAGCGAATATCCCGCGGAGTAGCGCACGCAGCAGGGGTCGTGTTCCCGTCCACCGCAGCAGCCGAAGACGGCCAGGGAGAAGATCCCGTGGATGACGATCAGAATGCACAGCAGGAACAAAGCCAGGATCACGGGAAACAAATAGCCGCCCTGACCTCCAAACAGCCAGGTTTTTTGGGTTTGAATAGCGAGATTTGAATGGCTTTAATTCGCGTAAATGACATGCATGTCATTGCTTTAGGTTATATAGATGGTTAAAAACTTTAAGCAATGCTTTTGTTCCAAGAGGAGAAGGGGGGATAAAATGTGTCATCGATACACCAAAAGGAAAGTCCATATCATATGTGCAAAAATGATGTGAAACTATGCATTGGGATTTCTGTGTCTATACGTGTGCGTCTAACGCTACTTCATCGGAAGCGTACTTCATCTAGCAGTGGTGGGCTCAGCTGGTGCCGCTGCGGCGGAGAATCAGGGCAGTTGAACGACAAGTTCAATGATACACAAATGACGCAAAAACGCTTGGGCACAATTCCAAAACTTTGGTTTTTCGGGTGCGAAATCTGAAGATATCTGAAGATGCTTTGCTACCGAAAAATTGATTAAAGTTGAGAACAGGCTGACCGCACCGCAGGTCAGGAGCCTGTCCAGAAGTCACCACGAATATACCCCTCAGCGCATGGCACAGCTGGGAACCAGTGCGCCAATTTGGGTGAAATTGGCATTTAGTCTGGCAACCAAAGCCCTACCAACAAAATGCCCATTGCCAAAGGAATCATGATCCAGTGATTTCTCATATATCCTACGACCGATTGTAACTGATTGAACCACAGTAGATTTCGAAGCTTTAAACTGCAATGGATCTGCAGGGAATCCGGTCGACCAACCTCGCCGAGCCGCCATCACGTACTGAAATTGGCCCTCAGCAGTGCTCAGGTAGAAACCGATCTTCTCTACGATCATGGCCTTCAGTGGCTGAGTGGCTGTGGTAAGTCAATTACGTTCTACCATGGCTATATCATGTATCATAGTTACTGTGTTCCACAAAGACGTCACCGTGTACATATATGTATGTGTGTATATATAACATTATATAACTATATATAATTACATATATATATATATATACACAGTAAATACACCACCCTATAACTTGGCTATTTCATGGCTTCTAAGTTCATAGCACTTTATGAACCACGGCGGGATTCCATGATTTGACTGCCGGAGTCGTCAAATCAGTCCTGGCTTCCAACCATCCCAGCCAACACGAAATCATCCCCTGCCATCAGCATAAATGTATTATAAATGTCATAAACGGGTGGTTAAAAAAAGTGGTTCAGAAAAACATGTAGCATCATGTAACATGTTATTGTATATATATCATCCATGACCATACCGATGCCACGGTGCCTTGATCTCCTTTATGGGAGCCACAGTCGAATTAATGGAGGCTCGCAATTGGGTCAGTGCAGGGCCCTGCAGCTGCTTATGAACCTCGCTTTCTGGTGATTTGTGGAAGCTCAGCTCTAAACCACCAGATTTTGAGGGGGATTTAATATATTGAATATATGTAATATAATATGATTCAATGAGAATTAATCATTGGAGATAGCGTTTTGTTTGGGATTCGACGAATCGTTCTGAACCATCGGATTTGGGATGCCACATCTGCGACAGTGAGGCTTTGGGAGATGTGTAAAATTCCTGCGTTTCACCACCTGTCTGTCGACCTGGTCTTGACTCCGTAAATCCCCGAGTTTTGCCGCTGAGGGTTTTTTTCGTGAAATCTCCAGGTTTTTTTCCTGAAAAACCACCTCTTATGGGCCTGTTGCTTTGTTCGCTCGACATGTTTCAAGCTCTTCCAGAGCTTACCCTCTGGTAAACATACAAAAAGCTATTGAAAATGGCAATTTATAGTGAGTTTTCCCATTAAAAATGGTGGATCTTTCCATAGTTTTTTGTATGTTTACCAGAGCTTACCCCTCCTCACCTCAGAGCGAGCTATGAAGAGTGCAAAGGCCACGGTCCCCTCCAATTCTTCCAGCAGGGGCCGGACGAGGTTCTCGGATCGGAGACTGGGGAGATTGGATTGGCAGGTCACACCTGACCCTAGAAACTGCTGACCAAACCTGTGAAAACCTGGTTGATGTTGGTGAAATACCATGGAAATTAAGCTGAAATACCTAGATTTCGGATGATTTAGGATGATTTCAGTGATCTCCATGATCCGAGGTGCCACCAGCGGCTGGCAGATCTGACATTTGTGCATCGAGCCCGACGGCGCCGCGTTTTGACGGTCACCTTGGGAGGTCGCTCGACTCCAGCGCCCAAAATGATACGATCGAAGGGCTTCCGAATGGTTTCATGCCCTCAATACTCTTGGGCATCACATGGCATTGGTACTGTAGTTGGAGGGGCTAATGTCTTAGAAAAACATCATGGGGCGAGAATGAATCGTTGCCTGAAAGCACCAGCGTCTGCAAGTCTTAGAGGTCCGTAGGACCAACCAATTTAAGGTCTAACGTGACATTCGTGCACCACAACCGGCAACTGTTCAACCCCAACGGGCAAATCTGGATAGTGGCAAAATGATGTTTACTATACTTGCTTGATCTCCCGTATGTTTCTGGGTTTATCACCCATCCGACTGAAGACATATTGAGTCATGGGTCTATACCCTGGCCCCCTTCCACACCGAAATAGCTGGGAGTTATGGATGTTCATCTCCCACCAACATGGCCCACGTCACCAGAACCATCCTCCAAGTGGCCAACCAAATCCAGCAGCATGGTCAAAACGGCAAAATTCACCGTGATGGCCCTGGGACGAAGGCGGCGAAGGGTGATCAAAGCAGCGCTGAAGGGTGTGGTCATGGCCCAACTTCCCCAGAAAATCGATTGTTTTTTCGCTCACAGAAAGTCAAAAAACCTGGGCATTTCTTAAGAAGATGTCTAATCTAATTAAACTTGGATTTTTTCGAGAAAAACCAACTCCTTCAAGCAGGTTTCCAGGTTTCTGTGTGGAAAGCCATCCCAGGAGTCCTACGGATCAAATTTTTAGTCCATTGGCGTCATCCAAAGTACAGTTGTTCTGTGAAACCACCGGCCAGAGCGGCGAAAAAGTTTGGCCAATGGGATCTTCAACCACCTGAAGTTGAAAGATTTCCTATAGATCTACGCCACTTTGAGCCATCCTCACACGGGGACTTGCCAACATGGTCCTTACCCTCTGGTAAACTAACATAACTATGGAAAATAATCATGTTTAATGGGTAAATCGACTATAAATGGTAATTTTCAATAGCTATTTTAGTTTGCCAGAGGGTATTTTTCATCATAAATACATCACAAATCCTATGGATTTGATCAGGTGCTCCAGACATCCACTGGTTGATTTCATCATTCTCCCTGTTGAAATTGCCATGTAGAGATGATGTCCCCGATTTTCAAACACATCACATCCTAAGTTGGTACCCCCTATACTCATATCATGATATCCCATGAAATATCCCCAGTGTATCCCTGATGTTTATCATTTATCAACATATCGATGTGTATATATATATATATAAACAAATAAATAAATAAATAAATAAATAAATAGTTTTTATAAATATGTTTTATAAATATAAATAAATATAAATAAATAAAAAAACACATAAAAATAAAAATATAAATATATATATATATAAATGCTATATATATTTATCCATCATTAATGTCCCATCATTTCGGAAAGTCGACTTCGCCGAGTCGCTTCTCCAAATCATACGTGAGATCCAGGAGAGATATGATGTCCTGCATGACCTCAGATCGTCGTCGCCCAGAGGCTACGTCGACGTCGTTGCCACTGAGATTTTTCTGCCTGTAACCATTTTAAAACAATAATAATTCCAGTAGATTCCCCAAATTTTGTGGATTAATCGATGGGAAAAGAGGAAACATCCTTTTTACTGAGAAAATGATCCTTATTGAATATATAGATGTAAGTAGACACCGGGGGTTTACCCATTAACGATATGAAAATGCGAATGAAACCAGTAAATGGATGCGAATCGATGCAAATAAAAAATGGTTTAAGGATGTCCTCACATCGGACTCAAGATTCGGCGATCACGGGCCTAAGAATCCTGAAATTCTGAAAGGGGAACTGATGCTGCAAAGAGAGTGGGCTTGAAACTGGCATACAAACAAGTTGGATGTCCAAAAGCAAAGAGGCGGGATTCCAATCATTTTTGGCCGTCTTACTCAACAGTTTTAATAGGACTCCCATCTTACCGCAGCTATGAGGATTTCAACCCATGAGCCCAGCTGCCGGCGAATCGGGCTCCAGGAGGAGCGTGACTTCTTCCAACATATCGGTGATGGGCAGAAAGCCCGTGAAATTCAACGACTTAGATGGCTCGGAAGGGAGAATAAAAACATGGAAAAAAACCGATGATTCGATCCCAGTTGAGAAAATGGGCGAAAATTGGATGATAAATGATGGTAATTCCCCATGTTTTTCAGGCGCCAATGAGGAAAAAAATGTAATCCAAAGTGGTTGGAAATCATTTGCGACTTTAATTGGGAAGCCTCTGGAAATCCAACAGGACTGTTTTCGTTTTGCCTGCGTTAACTATGATTTAACTGCAACTACCACGGTTTCATGGAAAATTCAAAATGGGAATGGGGGGGTTCCCAGCAAAATGGCTCAGGACTTTCGAGAACTTCCAGAAGTTTCACCCCAGAAAGATCAGATGTCTATCACATCTCTCCACCTTTGCTGGTCGAATCCTTGTTTCAAACCGATCTGGGAATTGCCGTTTTCAACATCTATCCCCACCCTAAAAAAAAAGAAGCTACAAAATATCTACCCAGTAATCAAACATAGCAATGGAAAATTCACTAATTACAATATGTGGTTTCATGATTTTCCCAACTATAATGGAAAATTCCCTATTTAGTTCCATCATTGATTTTCCCATTCAAAAATGGAAAATTCACTATTTATAGATGGTTTATAGATGATTTTCCCATTCAAAGCTTCCATTTTTCATGGCGAATTTCCCACGTGAAAAACATGGCCAGGTGCTGGATTTCCGTTCACGGCGTCGCGCACAAACTTGGCGGAGTAGCAGGCAGTGCCCTGGATGCCTCTGGGAAATCTCCAAGACCGTGGCTAGGAAATCTCAAAAAAAAATGACGAATCAGTCCGAATCAACTGCAAATTAGCTAGATATCAGATGATATTAGCTAGATATTAGCTAGATTATCTATTACCCAGATCCCATCTCCACATTTTAGCGGAAAGGAACATCCTTTTGGAATTCTGTGAGTATTTCATGGTACTTAACCAACTTGGTGAATATAAACCCACTATCAATGCCCATGGTGTCATCAAAAAAAAACTCATGTTTCCCAAACACAACCCCATGACTCATCCGATTCGAAATTCTAACCCCATTGAATCCCATGATTCATCCGATGAAAACATGAAAAACAAAGAGAAAATGCCCAGTTTCATCCTTTAGGATACCCCACCCCCGAGATTTCCCAAAAAATGCCGGGGGTCTGCCCGCCTTGATCGATGTCGTTATAGGCCACGAAGCTCACGGCTTGGACGGCAATGCAGCCCGCGGCCAGGGCCAGGAATAGGCACCACAGGAAGACATGGAACCACCCTGGGAGCCGCTGGGGGCTGTTGAGCCATGAAAAATTTGGTTTTTAACCTTTAAAAATACAAGAATTCACTAGGAAAAATTGGAAGTTAACTGTCAAATCTGAGGGTGAACCATGCCAAATTGGGTATTTTACATTGTGTTACTGTATTTAACGTGTTCAAACAATGAGCACATGGGAGTTATGCTAAGCATCAAGTTGAGACAACCCCAAATTGAAGATGTAATTCATCAAAAAAATGGAGAGCTACTTGTTTAAGCATGACACTAAGAGACGGGGATCTAGTCAGTCAGGAAATGGAGATGACTGATATATCTCATCACAAAACATGTTGTCCTACCTGGTTGAAGTTGCATTTTTTGTGCGGGTCAGGGATCACATGCCCCCGGATGGATCAAAGTTTGCCTAGTTCGGAGCAAGGGTGGGAGCTTTTCCAACCACCAGCCGGCGATAGAATGGATACATTCGGGCAGATGATAGGTGAAAAAGATCGAGAAGTGAAGCACCATCAAACAACACATTTGGCTGGTTGGTGGTTTTTAACCATCTTGAAAAATATTAGTCAATGGGAAGGATTATCCCATATATTATGAAAAATAAAAAAATGTGTGAAACCACCAACCACTTGGTCATTGTTGTCCGTGTGGGACCATCTAAATGCCAACGATGTCTTTTTGGACAGCACCCCGCCACCCGACTGCGTTTGTAGAGTTTCATCATGTTAGACCGAAAAGGTGAGCATTACCTCCAAATAAACCACGACAAACCAACCATCGCCACGGCAGCCGAGGCACATTTCTTTCCCAGCTGGTGATGCACTTCGCAACAACGGCAGCAGCAACGCATACAGCAGGGAAACAGAAAGCACCAGCAGCCGCCCATCCACAAGATCAACAGCAGGATCAGCATCACCTGATGGGTTGCAGGGAAAATCTACAGGAAACCCCTCCATATTTGATGGTCATCATGGTGTCCGTTGGATCTTCCCGATAATCCATTGAGAATTTGCTGGAGGAAATTGAAAAACCCGGGTGACACAACTGCAGGTTCCCCAGTCATAGTAGACATCAGGAAATCAAACATTACTGGATCTGAAATCCCAGATGGCGGACTTTTCACTTGATTATGACATTTGGCAAGTTAATTCCTTCCTCCTTTTTTCAATACCTCCCTAGAAATCCTCACGTATCAATCCTTTCATTTAAGGTCACTGTAAGCTCCACAGGGACATCCCCACCGCCATCCAAGGAACAAAGGCAAATGCCTTGCCCGCAACAAAGGTCACGTCCAAATTCCTGAGGGCAGCAGGGCCTGTATCTTCGTCTAAGTCCACCAATTTCTGTGGGTTGAAAATGATTTTTTAAAATCTACCGTTGAAAATTTGAAAACCATTGAAATTGAGCCCCAACTATGGAGGGCTCAGCCGTAAGATTTTCCTGTTGCATAGGCCCCTGTCACAAAAGAACCCCAACGATCAGCCTATTTTTAAAGTTTCCTGGTCAATTTCAGGATGCATCCCCGTTTTGGATTGGTCGAAACCCGTGAGCCATTTCTTGGTTGTTCTTTGCATCACCCATTTTCCATAGTCAAAACCTTCAATTTGTTGTGGTAGAAAACTCCCAGTTCTTGCTTGTCAAACCTTGTAATATATTGTTCCCATATATTTTGATCTACGCTTATCAAATTTTAACATGGAACCTAAGAAAATACCCAGTCATCTTCCCGACCAAATTTTGAGACGGTCCGCTTGAGTCGTTGTGCTAAAATGTATAAACACCTTCTCTCTCTCTCTCTCTCCCTCTCCCTCTCTTTCTGTACAGGTTTTCCATCTTTGGTTTACCACACTGCCCAAACCCACCACCCCGTGACCCCCCACTGACCCCCAGGATGCCCTTGCTGCCCCTAGCGACTCTTCGAATTTCTCCAACAGGACATCGGTGGACACGCCATTGGTGACAATATCCGCGTCCATCACGGTTTCATAGATGGGGTTGTCCTGCAGAAAAACCCACTGGTTCCATGGAAAATACACTGTTTTCTTTGGTGTTTTTTTCAGTGACCTGATGGTTGGGTCTTGGATCGTTTGAGGCAATGAAATCCTTGGAAAAATCCCATGAAAATCATTAGAGAGCTTCGTGCAGACTTTCCCGCATCATGAAGACAATCTGGGAGATAAACTGCGCCACAAACGGGATGGTGAAACATCAATTGGATATCATATGATACAATATGATATAATTGGATTGTCTTCATGAGATGCGTCACCAACCTGCAACCTGAAAATCATGTCATTTTGGGGGAGATTCCGCATTTTCCAAGAACAGTGAGTATCATCGACAGTGCCAATGGCTTTGTCTCAAAATATAGCCTATACATGCGTATATGGTGCACTGCATTCACAAAAACGCTCCGTAAATCTCCGTAATCCAACAAAACACATAGTCTTAGTTTAGAAGGTCAGAACCTCATCTGTCCCATAGAATCAATAAGCCTCCTCAAAAATCCCACTCAAAATCCCATATGGTTCTTATGGTGTTTCGTCATCCATCCATTTTTTCCCCTGGCACCTGCCCAGCGCTCACCAGCAAGTTGGCGCGAGCTACTGCAACGTCCAAATGCACAAAATCCACCGGGCAGAAGGTCTCCACCGTGCGATCCTCGGAGCTCTCGGCGATGCACGGGACACGTTAAAATTGGGGGTTTTTGTTTCGAGGAGATTTCATATTGGGGGAACCTATTTATTGATATTTATTGATAATATTTGGGGGAGAATTCAGATAATTCGGATAATACCATTGATAATTTGATGGAATAATCAAGTGTTTACCAATAAGATTAGTTGGATTGTTGGCAAACCCCTCACTATTCTGGTCCTGATCTATCTTTTCATGCATATTATACATATATATATATATATTCCCCAGATATAGCGAACTATTTACCTGTTCAAGGTTGCCAAGGTTGACCCTCCCACAACCGTAAAAACACCGAGCATCCGCTTGTGCCAACAAGTCTTGCTCCGCCTGCAGATGTTCACCCTGTTTTCATCATGATTTTCAGCATGTTTGAAACTTCAATATGTATCAATCATTGACCAAAATATTGGCACCATTCTGATGAAATCCACCCATGATATTTCATACCCCAATTTTGGGACCCAAAGTTATGAATGGACAAAAAAAACAGTACATTCCACCAGGGCTTCGTTTGGAGGGTGCTTAGTATACTTGATATGATCGGGGGAGCCATTTTGGGATCATCACCCCAATCCAATTTAAAAACATGACGTTAAAAAAAAAAACATGAGGTCCTTTGGCAAAAAATCTTGATCCAGAGGTCAATGCTTCATGGATTGAAACCCTTTGAAAGCCATCCAAATCATTGAACATCATCAAACCACCATTCTTGTTGCTTTTTTAAGGCTTTTGCAGGCCATTCAAACGGAGGATCGCCTGAGTTTGGACCTGCCCTTGGACCAAGGAGAACAGCGCCGCAGCACCCAACAGGCAGCTGCGCGCCATGTGTCCCATGTCGCTGCCGAGATGGGTCGCTAAAAATGCTATGGAAAGTCTTGGTTTAATCATATTTATCTATATTTAATAACGATGCACTGGAATATATCCCTTTATGATTCTATATGTGTGTATATAGTGGAATGGGATGTGTGATGGCAGTTGAACATGATTATGCTTTTGAAAGGCTAGAGCACCGGCAGGGCGTGCCTCTTGGGGGCAGTGCATCGGATGCATCGACCCCAAGCTGACCGGGCTTGAACCAAGTTGTGAGGCGAGGCCACCACTCCGATGCTTGAAGCTGAAGTTGGGGGAGGCCCGATTTGGGCCATAAATGCCACTTTTTTCAGGCATTCAACAGCTTAGGTGAGGCCAAAGGCCCTTTTCTATGAACATGTGGAATTTTCCCAGTGTGACATCTCTAAACTTCAGCCCCCTGACAACTCAAAGATAAAGATGCAGTGAATTTAGCCCACACCACAGCCCAATCAACAAGTTCAACCTTACAACCGCTGAAGTTTGAAAACAAAAGCCGTGCCTTCACAGCAGCTATGGTCGGGCGAAGCCACGAACCAAAAGCTAGAACAAGAAACCATGACAAAAGAGAACAGAAGAGTTAATAGTTAAACAGTTAAACAAATAAGCCAGTAGATATTTGTTTAACAGTTTTGCAAAAACAAATAGATACAAATAAGCGATCAGCCACTATCTGTCATGACCTCTGCTAGATAACGCTGCAAAACTAACACGGTCTTCTCGTTGCCTGGTCAGGTGACCCGTCCCGTCGAGCCAAGAGGGGCATTGCTGAATCTGATATCTCCCATTCGCAGGGCCTGGTCTGTTTCTTTCTGCAAGAGTTCTGGGTAAACTATTGTGATTCACTATACATATATAATCACACAGTACATGCATTGTGTGTGTGTGTATCATATATCACTATATAAACGCAAATATGCATACATAATTTGTGTGTATATGATTGTTCATGTATAACCTGAAATAGAGCCATTTGGCGATAGATACCCCTGTAACAGCCTATAAGCCTACCAACCATCCAGTGACGTCGCCATGTGAGGCCATGATCATTCATTGATCCAGCCCGCCAGGGACCCAGCCAACTTCATTAAGCGAGTCCTGAGCGAATAGCGACAGGAGTGCTGGCCCCAAGGCCAGGGTAGCAGGTTAGTCCAAGAGTTAGAAGATGCCCAAGTTATGGCAATGGGGAAGTAGCTGGAAATCATGATCCACCATGCGCTAGAAATGGGGCGATGTTTATTCAAAGCCATGTGTTTGACGGGAGCCCAAAATCACTCCACCTGCTTCACCCTGAGAACCCCTCAGGGGACCCCGCATCAAATGACAGGGAGGATCAGTTGAATCACAGAAGCTGTAGGTTCGGATCTGGTCCTCCCCTTGATGCCCAACAGCCGCGGTGCACGGCTGTTTACTCTGCCATGAACTGAAGGAGAACAGGTGACGGCTTTATTTCGAATATAAGCCGTTGTTCTTGAGGGGGGACCGTCCCGAAAAGAATGGCTATTGTCTCAAGCTTTTAATCATGGCACATATTATGGTCTAGGTCCATGGCTGCACGTGGTTTGTTGGTCTATGATTTCCAGTCAATGTATATCCGCCTGTCTATGTGTGCGTGCGTGTGTCTGTGTGTGTGTGTGTCTCTGTCGATCTTTTGACTTCCTATGAAAGCTCCCCTATTACATCTACAACCCCAAGCCTCAGTTGGGTGCTACAAAGGATCTGCCCTGGGGCTGACATGGCTGTGCATTTTTTTCATTTAACAAAATCATGTGCAGGCAATTCGTCCCATGCAAATGACCATCCATTTTGCGGGGTCGCTAGTTTTGAACTGAAGCATCTTGATGGCAGTGATCCTGGAAGCTTTCATCAAAAATACACAAGAATCTCTGTTAAATGTCCTGAAATGTCCTAAATATAAATCAGACAAAAGTCTCCGAACCATTCCCAAATGGGTTGATGATTGTTTTTACCATGTTTTACCATGTTTAACCATGTTTTACCATGTTTTACCATGTGTTACCATGTTTTACCACGTTTTACCCACATGAAATCCCAAATTTCCCACCCCCCCGGGCCCCCCCTTAGGAACCCCCCTTTTTGCGGCGCCTTGTCGGCCATGGAACAGGCCATCTCTGTGGCCGCACCTTCCACCTCCGGACACTTCAGCAGCGCCTAGCGATGCAGCGAAGCAGTTGAGAATAGTTATGTAAAATAGTTACTTAATGGGATTTTATAGTGACTTAATGGGATTTTATAGTGACTTAATGGGATTTTATAGTGACATAATGGGATTTTATAGTGACTTAATGGGATTTTATAGTGACTTAATGGGATTTTATAGTGACTTAATGGGATTTTATAGTGACTTAATGGGATTTTATAGTGACTTAATGGGATTTTATAGTGACTTAATGGGATTTTATAGTGACTTAATGGGATTTTATAGTGACTTAATGGGATTTTATAGTGACATAATGGGATTTTATAGTGACATAATGGGATTTTATAGTGACTTAATGGGATTTTATAGTGACTTAATGGGATTTTATAGTGACTTAATGGGATTTTATAGTGACTTAATGGGATTTTATAGTGACTTAATGGGATTTTATAGTGACTTAATGGGATTTTATAGTGACTTAATGGGATTTTATAGTGACTTAATGGGATTTTATAGTGACTTAATGGGATTTTATAGTGACTTAATGGGATTTTATAGTGACTTAATGGGATTTTATAGTGACTTAATGGGATTTTATAGTGACTTAATGGGATTTTATAGTGACATAATGGGATTTTATAGTGACATAATGGGATTTTATAGTGACTTAATGGGATTTTATAGTGACTTAATGGGATTTTATAGTGACTTAATGGGATTTTATAGTGACTTAATGGGATTTTATAGTGACTTAATGGGATTTTATAGTGACTTAATGGGATTTTATAGTGACTTAATGGGATTTTATAGTGACTTAATGGGATTTTATAGTGATTTAATGGGATATTAATGGGATATACCCTCTGGTTATGACTAACATAGCCATGGAAAATCCACCCATGTTTAATAGGTAAACCATCTATTTCTATGGGCCATCTATACCATGGCTATGTTAAATAACCAGAGGGTATGTAAAATAGTTATATAGTGATAGTTATACGATAGAACTATTAGATATTATCTAGTATCAACTATAATGATAGTATTATGTAATGACAGTCACTGATTAGAAATGATAGATCTAGAACAGTCACTATAGTTATAATGATGGTATATCATTGACGTCAATATTAGTCAATGATAGATCTGGGCAGTTGAATTAGAAATAGATAGAACTAGACCAAGTAAAGGACTCAAATGAATACCCTCTGGTAATTTAACATAGCTATGGAAAATCAGCATTTTCTAGCTGGGAAAATCCACTATTTCTATGGCCATTTTCTATGGCTATGTTAAATTACCAGAGGGTACACTTGTGATTCTGCCATTGTACATAATACATGGGTCATTAAATGTCCCCATTGAACATCACCCAACCATTAGGTATATGGTCTACAATGGCTACTATAAGGTGATGTCCAATATTCCCAAAATGGGACAGTTACCAACCCCTGACATATTATGCCCCTGTTTTTTTTTTAAGAGTCCGCCACCCTTCCTGCGCCGCATTGGAGCACAAGGCCACGAACATCTTCCGACCCTCCTGGGCCAAGCGGATCCAAGCGGCCCAGGAAGCTTCCCCGGTGACCTTTCGGGGGCCTTGACTCCAGTCATTGCGCAGTTTTTGATGGAAAAACGAGCCATTTTTAATTGGTAAATGTGGAAAACCTATGGAAAACCCCACCATTTTAATCAGGTAAATCTATAAATGGGACCATATTCTTTCTTTTAGCTATCATGAAAAATAACCGGAGGGCACACATCACAATCGTCCTGGTGCTCTAGGGTTCCATGTTTGCAAGGTGAGAATCAATTTGGGAGCTGTTTGGGGTCAACCCCCATGCCCGTTTCTTTCAACTCAAGGCCCAACATGGATATAGATGATATCCACGTAGATATAGATATAGATATAGATATAGGTATTGAAAATTAGAAATTAGATATCAGATATCAGATATAGATTTAAAAAATGTAAATATAAATATAGAAATATATATTAGATATGAGGGATGAGAGATTAGATATAGATTGTATATAGATACACATATGGTGATTTTTCAAAGACTGGGACAAACCAAAAGCGCAGTCCAGCTTTACCTTTTCGGAGCCCATCAAATGAGAGGTCATTCCATGGTTGATTTGTCTTCTGACTATGGCTATGTCTCAAAATTTTCTCCTCCCCCCCACCCCTCCCCAAAATAAACAGTCTTAGCATCTATTTTCTCAATTGAAAATCATGTGATGATCATGAAAATAGCCCTGAAACAAGGCCTTTTAGCAGTTTTTGCATCATGTTCCCATCTTTTCACCATGAAATGGCCATAAAATCTGCACCAAATCCCCCCCTTTTTTTTCGCGTTAAAAATCCATGGGCGGAGTCCTCGCTTTCGGCGGCCTCCAGGGCATCGATGCTACGCCTCCAGACCTGGAAAGTCCAGGAGGGAACCAGTGATAGTAACCATGGATATTAACCATCAATGGATTGGTTTAAGGGAAAATCTACAGGAAACCATAGATTTTCCCATTAAATATGGGGTTTTCCCATTAAATATGCGATATTAATTGATATTACCCATGGATATTACCCTCTGGTAAATTAACAGTTCGACCCTGGCAGTCATGGATATTTTCATGATTGAATGGTTAATATGCTTAATATCCATTTTTTGATCATTTAACCAGGGATTGTGCTTAATATCCATAGTGATCATTTAACCATGGATTGAACCATGATATTCACCACACATAATCGTTAATCCATTGATATCCATAGTCATCCTTATCATCCATTCATATTTCTTGGAAAATACCATCCGGTAAACGTTTAGAGTTATGGAAAATGGACCATTGAAATAGTTGATTTAGCCATTAAAAAATGTGATTTTCCGCAGTTTGCTGTATGTTTACCAGAGGGTAACCGGTAATTGTGGGTTATTAACCAATAATAGTGGGATAATGATTGACAATTATTTTGGAATAATGGAATAAGAATAGGTACTAGAAAGGGTGTGGCTTTAGAAATGGTTTTGGGGATATTGCTGATGTATAACCACTGCAAATATGGATTTAAGCAATATAGGGATTTAAGCAATAATAATAAGATGTAGTGGGTTTGTCTAAAGAGATGAGGTGGTAATAATGGGATACTGACGGAAGAATGACGGGAGAATAGCGGAATAACAATAGGTACTAGTGAATTTGCTGCTTTAGAATCAAGTTCCCATTAAAACTTATATATATGTTGATGGGACAATTTCTCCACCACCTTTGGACACATGGAACCTCCATGATGCAGTTTTGAAGATGTCTTACCTCTGAACCAACACCCATTTTTGTGGTCGTGAGATTGGCATTTCACCATCCAAGTCTTGGGGTTGCTTTGAAGACTTTGTTTCCCCAAACCACTCTTGGAAAATGCCCAGAAAAACTGCTGAAACCCTCCGGTGATGTAACATGTCAATTGAAACCACCATGTGTAGGTGATGTTCCCATCAAAAATGTCGATCCCTTGCCAAAATTCCCGCGTTTCTTTACCAGTAACTGCCATGTTTCATGCTCCAGTTCCCTGTTGGAAAGCTCCCCAATCTCAGAAAAACGCTCCGGGGCCCTCCGAGGCCCTCTGACCTGGTAGGACTTGAAGTACTGCCCCGATTGGAAGAGCCCCACGCCCTCGGCCTTGTCCTGCTCCGCCCCACGCACCTTGGGGCGCCAAAAAAATGCAGATGTTCACATCATATGTCATCAATCGATGGCTGGATGGATTGGACCAGCTATCGACTCTGAGCTTCATGTTGAACCTAGCCCCTCGAGACCAATCCCCCGGTATATTGGCTCAAAACGAAATCAAGTGAACGGATCTACCGCTAAGGTAGATCTCCGAACAAAGGCAAAGCGGGAAGCAACACAGGTAAGGATGGAGAGGTGCTGAATATGTTATAATATCTATTTGCCTCCACCTCTACATGTGATACAGTATCATGTGTACTATATACATATGATATTAAATATCTACACATTATACAAATTGTATCACATGATACATATTTAATATATTATATATAATATTATATATATAACTGATATATATATATATACAAATAAATAAAAATAAATAAATTGATTGATTGATATTGATATTGATATTGATATTGATATTGACATATAAACCTTCACTTATTTGTTTTTATTTATTGATTAAAAAACAATTATGTTATATATATATATACATATATATATGTATGTGTGTGTGTGCGTGTCTATATGTGTACAGTATATGCGTGCATGTGTGTGTGTGTGTTTGTGTGTGTGTTTTGTGCGTGTATGTAATGTAATGTGACTGCGATTGTTACTGGTAATGTTCATGTTTGTGCTTATGTGATGGGATGTGATGTGATGTGGCGTGCATGTGCGAAAGGAATATGGACTTTCTCAGTGGGTGTCCTTACCGAAAAAAGTTTAAACCTTTTTTTGGTTGGGTTCGCGCGCTTTTTACGAATAAAATAGAAGCCCCCCGCGAACGCGCAAACCCAACCAAAAAAGAAATTAAAAATTAGACACTTGATGAGTAAGTTGAGACCATGAACAAGAATGGAATGGAAACGGATGTTGACAAGACTGATGTGACACGAAAAGGAGCCAAATTTTCCAAAGGTGCACTTGTCTGTGTGTGTTGGTGTGCATGTGTGCGTGTGTTTCCCATAAATGGCAAAGGCTCCCAAGGTTCACAGGCCCCGGAAGGCCCAACGGTCGTGATGTCCCAACCTCAGTGGGGAGAGTTCCCCAACTGGAACATCCCAAGGAAGCCCCGGATTTAGACCTTCATTTTTAGACGCTTGATCTAGGAAAATGTATGAAAACCCACGATAAAATGTGGATGTATGACGATTGACCTATGAAAATGTGGATGTCCCACTTGCATCCGCCACATGAAAGCCATCTCCACACCTTCGCTTCACACCTTTTGGGAGCATCGCTCTGATGGATTAGGCCGTTTTCAGCCCGTGGTTTCACCACCAGAACAAGGTCCATGGGTCCACGCACACTCTGTGCTGGGCACCTTGCTTTGTCGCCTGGTGCTCCAGCTTCAGGCTTTGAACCCTGTTGCTGGTCTCTGCCTTGGCACGGCGGCATCGGTTCACACTTCCCTGCAGCTTTCTGGAGACCAAGACCTTTTGGTCCTTGGGGGCAGTGGCAGCAAAGTACATCAGGAAATCCAGAATGTTCATTTCAGAATATGGCCAGGCGTTTTGTTGCAAGTAGCGCACCTCCCCTTGCTGTGAGTTGCCGAGAGTACCATCTCTCTTGGTGACCACGAGCAGATTGCAGCCACACTTCACCGCCTCGAGGGTTTTCCTCTGCCAGAGAGAGAACCAAGCGCAGCCAAAGTATTGCTTCCTCGGACTTGCTTGAAGGAGGGAAAACGGGACAGAGACAGAGAAAACACATATATTTATACATGCATTTAGCGTGTAGATATAGACTTGAGAGCAGGCGGAGGCGGACGAAAGGTAGTGTAGTGGGAGAGGAGTGGTGTCAAAATGCTGCGCCCCTAAGATGATACACCAAAAAGGTTTTTACGCAGTCTAAGATGATTTTATCCAGAGCATGACTGCATGATACGGTGTCTTGTGCAGCGTGAAATGATGCACGAAAAGGGGTTTATTTAAAACCCCCCCTTGCAGCAACTGTTATTGAGGCTGAAGCATACCAATTATGCTGGACTACAGGGACATCTCCCTCATGGAAAGTGTGCCTCTAATGTGGGGGCCCGTGACCGCGTCACCCGTGGGAATTGAACCCATGACCATTTTCGGGGGGGGGGGCCCCCCCCCCTTATAATTGATATCCAATACATAACGGCGAGAATTCCATGAATTGCACGGGCTGGCCCCCCAATACCCCCTATGATAGTGCTGAAGCACGGAGAACTCAGGTAGCTGACGCTACCTTTCGTGATAATGCAATGATATGCATATATGTATATATATATACATACATCAATGCGTGTGTGTGTGTGTGTGCGTGTGTGTGCACGTGTGCACGCGCATACTCATACGCATCTGAGTTTGCATATGTAAACTTCCCCATAAAATATGGGCTCCCAAGTTCACTTAAAATTCATCAAAATTCATCAAGCCCAGCTTCTGCCCATGGTAGAGATGCATACAATGGCACATCTGGCCATCTCTTCCAGTGCGAATGTGTTGCCCATAGCCCGGTGCAGAGCTGTTGGGCAAAAAGATGCAGCTGCTATTCAGCCCACTCTCAGCCTTGGCCGCTTCCTTGGTCAAGAAGTTCCATGCCCTTCCATAGGCCCCAGGGAAACTCACAATCACCAGGGCGTTGGGGGTAAAATCATCGACATTGTTGCCAATGAATGGGATGGGCTCTGACTTGTCTTCTTTGAGCAAGTCTTCGTAGTTTTTTCCCCCGTGACAGATGGGCACAGTAGCTGGAGCTGAAGGATGTGGGCGACACGTGCAGAGACAACCATCCATCCCGCGTTATCGGACAAAGCTGGCTGGGACACCGGTGACCTTTGGTGAATTTGAACCCAAGAAAAAGTCAGGAATACTAGGTATGACATGGTATGACCAGCCGATTTGGCTTTCCTGTCCAACGAAAAACCATCAAGTGGGTATTAACATGGATTCCGCCCTTTAAAGCAGGAAGTGGCAGGCTGCTGGCCCTTTCTTAAAGCAGGAAGTGGCAAACGGCAAACCTTTCTGACAAGTATCATCACTGGTTGAGGGGCCGTACTCCACCAGATTATCAGCAATCAATATGGCCAACTCTGGATTAGATAATTAATCCCAAGTTACAAGGAATCCTTATAGAACTTTGGAATATTTTATATATATATATAGATATTAGAGGAATATGGTTGAGAACATGGATACCACAAACCACTGATCAGTGTTTTCAACCCAGAGCCCCACTGGGGCCACTAGGGCCTCCGGCCATGGCTGAAGCGCGGAGTGAACGGAGTGAACGGCAAGGTCCAAGGTGTAGGCAGCCGGCCATCAGCAAAGTTTTCCAACAAAGAGCATCTCCAAAATCCATCCCCATCTTTTCCCAGAAAAAAAGTTCAGGTATGTTTCAGTGATGTTTGATGATTTTTCTAGGATAATATCATATATATATATATGTCATATTCAAACATGGTTTCTGGTTTCCTGTCTTTCCCTTACCGATGCGTTCACATTCCGGGATTCGCTGAGACTCTGAGAGCTGCACCAGTTCCTCTTCATTCCGCACCTGTTGGGCTCTAACCTGGTGGGGGCTGAGGTCTTGGCCTTTCAAAAAATAGGGAGCTCAGCATCAAACGATGAGTTCTTCATGGATTATCATTCTGGATAAGCCATTAATAACTCAGATTTTACAGTACAAAAAATGATTAAAAAAATGTGGATTCAATCAACAAAAGATGACATTCATCGCGTTTTTTGGAAGGGCAAATCTAAGGGAAACCAGCCACTCCGCGCCACTGCAGGGTCTCATTTTCCCACATTCAATGCTAGAAAATTCAGGGGGCTCTACATATAAAGGCTATAGTGGCTATAGGTTTTCTTTGTAGGGCATCAAACCCCGTCATTATCGTCCTTGCAAAGTTTATCATAGGAGTATGACCACCATTCTTCTTGGCCCCTAGTTGAGTCATATGCCACAGTTTCGACTATCCATTTCTTCTAGATTCTAGATATAGGACGTCACCCAATGTTCCCATGTTCTTTGCTATCCCATACCTCCATGTCTGTTGCCAAAGCCCCCGCTGCAAGGTAACTTCCAAACTTTCCAGAAGTTCAACATCTAGGGCTTCAAATTTTCTCAACATGTCATAAGTAGACTTTGAAATCCAGCCCAAAAAAAATCTGGTACTTCCCCTGCGGGTCAGGCCCGCGAGACGGCAGGCGCCGTAGGCACATCTACGCCTGGCCATGGTGCAGCGCTCACCGGATCCAACCGGATCCAAGAAGTGGGTCACCCTGGATGGTGATTACCTGGATTTTTTGGGGGATGATTCAGGATGATTCAGGATGATCAGAAGATCTGGTGCATTTGCCATTGCAGTTTTAGATTTTCAGATTACCCTCTGGTAAACTAACATAACTATGGAAAATCACCATTTTCAATGGGTAATTCCACTATAAATGGCCATGTTCAATAGCTATGTTAAATTACCAGAGGATACATCCCCTTTTCGTTGCAGTAGTTTTGCTCCCCCAAAAATGTAGGTCGGACTCGCGTCCTGTTCCGGTGATCGCCAAGGTGCTGTGGGTCGTCCCATTCGTTTGCCCGTAACCTGCCAAGCTTATCGCATCAAATTCAACCAGGACACATGTCATGGGCGAAGCCATCCAGGTTTTCTCCAAAGAACAACATGTCCAAATCATGTACAGCATGGTTTTGAAGTAGCTGTAGGTCTTTAGCTCAGCATTTCCGGATCGTTTCTGGCTTGCTCCAACCATGGAGTTTCCGGATCATCGGATCGAGGATTTGCCAGGCGAATCATGGTGGATGTTTCAAGAAAAAATGGACCAAACACATGCTGGAAAATATATATATCCGTTGAAGGATGTGTTTTCCATATCCCAAAAAGATCCAAAAAAAAAAAACATTCCAAACGATATCCCAAAAAAAATATCCAACAAATGGTGAGTTTTCCATAGCATTTCCATACCATACCCATATATTCCCATGAGAAATGTACCTCCGCCCAGCACGGGTTCCGGCTCCACCGACTCCAGTGGTGGCAGCTCGTCGTCCTCCTGAGGGCTAAAGTGATCAAGAAAATGTGAATCTTTGGGTGATATCATAATATATCATAATATATCTATATATGTTTTTCCGAACGTTCTTTTTCCGCATGTTTTTGGTTTGAAACACTAGGTTCGGACACTTTTTGGAACAAAGGCTTTCATATTTTCTGGAGATGTTCCTTTCAATTGAGACCGCGGGGGACGAGTTTCAATTTGGGACATGGTGTTTACCATCAAGTTTTTCGCTTTTCGTGCGATTTGGGATCCTCGTCCGTAACGAATTGTTTTGCCACAAACCGTGGCAGCCAGAAAAAAATGGCACTGCGACTGCTACCAAAAGGTGCATTTGAACAAGACAAACATAGAAATGAAGTGACATGTTTTAGAACAAAGCATGTCATTGCCGTCAAATTTTGTCAAATGATCGTTGATATGACAATCTGGACGCTTCTGGAAATTGTGAACTTCGAAAGTCGTTGGAAATCCCACCTCGACTGGTGGAGCCTGCTGAGCCTCAGGGGAAATGTTCAAGGAGCCATCATGACCCACAAGCTGGGAGGAATAGGGATTTCCCGCTTAACAGTTGTCTGTAGTGTTTAAGCCGTTTAAGCAACCAAACATGTGCGGGGAATGTGGATTTTTTCCAAGCCAAAATTGCGACTGAATCTTCCTTCAGAATTGGAATTTGCATGAATTTACCCAAAAAGTGTAAGAGTTTGACCCTGGAAACCGTCCAGCCCCAAGTTCGGGAAGTAGCCAAAATCAACACCCAACTCATGGTTGGGATTTTTGGAGGACCGGGGAGAATTCATGGTCGTTGGGGGACCGCAAAGTCACTAGCCAATGCCCAAGCGGAACTTAAGAAGGAAAAAATTATCAGGCCTGCCGGCAAGTAGACTAGAGTCTAGAGAGTGACTAGAGTTCAAGGAAGCATGCAACATATTGCACGCTCGCAGGCTCCCAAACATTCCACTGTCCCAACTCCAGAATAAATCACTTGAATCACTTGAATCACTTGGGCCCTTCGCTTGGGGTCTCCCGTCTCCGGTCACACGCCACTCTTTCAAACAGCTCTCCGTTGAATCGTTCAGTTGCGGCCGCCCGGTCTTCGTTGGCGGCCTCCGGATCTCCGGAGGCGATGCAGCATGGGTGCTCTGTTTTCCCAAAGTGAGTTTGGAGAAGCACGTGATGGCCACCTTTATATGGGGGATATGGGGGATATGGGCGGGGGATATGGGGACTAGAGATTATACAAGTCCGAATTGAAAATCTCCGAGGTCCCCATATCCCCCAGATTTTTGGAAACCAAGCCGTAGAATCTCAGAACTGCAAGTTGCCTCACTCAGAAAGCACCCGGGCGTGCCGCTGCTCGTTGGAAGGTAAGCGCCACAGCGGCAAGAGCAGGGCAGTGACCAACAGAGCGCCGCCAGCCATCAATACTCGCCACACCTCTGGGGAACACTGGTGTCAATCCTCCAATTTCCCAATGAGCCAATGAGCCAAGTAATTCATGGTTGCCAATCATCGGAATGTTTTTTATAGCTGTAGTTTTGATCATGGTAAAGTCCATATAAAACAAGAATGAGCATAGGAACAGAGAAAAGAATCGTGAAATTGATTAGTGGGTATTGTTCCTCCCCATTTTACTGACCTCTTTGGGTGTGTTGTGATCTGAAAGTCCCACCCCGTGTGGATGGAAACATCCTGGGAACACTACGGTAATCCCATTCCCCCTTTTCTTCAATCAATGACCGAACCCCAAACGACTGGTGGAGTGTGATGGTTCTATCCCTTTTAAATGTAATGGATCTATTCATAGATCTATTCCTTTTGCCCCAAATTTATCCAAATTTCTGGTATTTCATGTTATTTTTGGCTGAAATCCTTAGGGGATTCCTACGTCCAAATTGCAGTTTCCCAGGCCTGCCACCCTGAGCTTTGGATGAGCCAACCCAGGGGCAACCCCGCAGCCGCCGCGCCGGTGTAAGCAGACCAGCCCAGCAAACCTGCTCGGACGCCGCTTCCGGGTGCCGCTTCCGAGATGAAGTTCAGATCCATACAACTGCGATATAATATATATATATAGTCATCCTGAAGTAGATAGAATATCGGAAATTTTCAAAAATGATTTTTTTTTTAAAGAAATAATAGTTGGAATATTTTCAAAACCCTCAGTTTTTACACGTTTTTCGTCTTTGTTAAGTCATTTTTAGCCAGTTTTGGACACGGGTCTGGGGAAATTTTGAAAAATACAAAAATCAAACAACACCAAAAAATAGATAGAATATTGTTTCAAACCAGGTAGATAGAATATTTTGAGGGAATTGTGAACACCACTTAAGATATCCAGGATTGCTGCTACCCAAAAGGAATTACGTATTTAATAATTATACATGAAGGGGACCCTATTCCTTGCAAAACTACATACATAGAATATAGGTCCCCAGTGAAAATATTCATCATTTTTTAAAGGACTGCCACCTAATTCCATTGGCTTTAATTGCATTTTTTTTAAATGTTCTACGACGCCGGTCGTGGGGGGTACCCTTCGGTGAGCTTGAAAAAATAATTTCTTTAATGCAATATAAAAAGAAATTGATCATTTCGGGGGACCTGTTTTTTTGTTGAAACGTTCCAGTTTAGGAACTTCAGATATCCAAAGTTGCTACTCCCCAAAGGGAATTACGTATATCATATACATCCTTATGTATGAACGACACCAAATTCCTTTCAGAACTACATACATAGAATATAGGTCCCCGGTGAACATATTCATTAATTTTATTGGTTTTCATTGTAAAAATATGTTTTTTGTCATAGTTCCCCGACACCGGTCGTGGGGGATACCCTTCGGTGAGCTTGAAAAACTCATTTTTTTCATGCAATATAAAAAGAAATTGATCATTTCGGAGGACCTGTTTCTTGTTGAAACGTTCTAGTTTAGGAACTTCAGACATCCAGGGGTGCTACTCCCCAAAGGGAATTACGTATATGATATATATAGATATATACCCTTATACTTTTACATGGAAGAGACCAAATTCCTTGCAGAAACACATACATAGAATATAGGTCCCCAGTGAAAATAGTTAACAATTTTTTTAGGAACACCAACTAATTCCAGTAGTATTCATTGCAAACTAGTTTTTTTTCATAGTTCTCCGACTCCGTTCGTGGGGGGTACCCTTTGGTGAGCTTGAAAAATTCATTTTTTTAATACAATATTAAAAAAAAATTGATCATTTCGGGGGACCTGTTTTTTTGTTGAAACGTTCCAGTTTAGGAACTTCAGATATCCAGGATTGCTGCTACCCAAAAGGAATTACGTATTTAATAATTATACATGAAGGGGGCCCTATTCCTTGCAAAACTACATACATAGAATATAGGTCCCCAGTGAAAATATTCATCATTTTTTTCAGAATGCCACCTAATTCCATTGGTTTTCATTGCAAAATAGTTTTTTTTTCATAGTTCTACGACGCCGGTCGTGGGGGGTACCCCTCGGTGAGCTTGAAAAACTCATTTTTTAAAACAATATGAAAAGAAATTGATCATTTCGGAGGACCTGTTTCTTGTTGAAACGTTCTAGTTTAGGAACTTCAGACATCCAGGGGTGCTACTCCCCAAAGGGAATTACGTATATGATATATATATATATATAGATATATACCCTTATACTTTTACATGGAAGAGACCAAATTCCTTGCAGAAACACATACATAGAATATAGGTCCCCAGTGAAAATAGTTAACCATTTTTTTAGGAACACCAACTAATTCCATTAGTTTTCATTGCAAACTAGTTTTTTTTCATAGTTCTCCGACTCCGTTCGTGGGGGGTACCCTTTGGTGAGCTTGAAAAATTCATTTTTTTAATACAATATAAAAAGAAATTGATCATTTCGGGGGACCTGTTTTTTTGTTGAAACGTTCCAGTTTAGGAACTTCAGATATCCAGGATTGCTGCTACCCAAAAGGAATTACGTATTTAATAATTATACATGAAGGGGACCCTATTCCTTGCAAAACTACATACATAGAATATAGGTCCCCAGTGAAAATATTCATCATTTTTTTCAGAATGCCACCTAATTCCATTGGTTTACATTGCAAAATAGTTTTTTTTTCATAGTTCTACGACGCCGGTCGTGGGGGGTACCCCTCGGTGAGCTTGAAAAACTCATTTTTTAAAACAATATGAAAAGAAATTGATCATTTCGGAGGACCTGTTTCTTGTTGAAACGTTCTAGTTTAGGAACTTCAGACATCCAGGGGTGCTACTCCCCAAAGGGAATTACGTATATGATATATATAGATATATACCCTTATACTTTTACATGGAAGAGACCAAATTCCTTGCAGAAACACATACATAGAATATAGGTCCCCAGTGAAAATAGTTAACCATTTTTTAGGAACACCAACTAATTCCATTAGTTTTCATTGCAAACTAGTTTTTTTCATAGTTCTCCGACACCGTTCGTGGGGGGTACCCTTTGGTGAGCTTGAAAAACTCATTTTTTTAATACAATATAAAAAGAAATTGATCATTTCGGGGGACCTGTTTTTTTGTTGAAACGTTCCAGTTTAGGAACTTCAGATATCCAGGATTGCTGCTACCCAAAAGGAATTACGTATTTAATAATTATACATGAAGGGGACCCTATTCCTTGCAAAACTACATACATAGAATATAGGTCCCCAGTGAAAATATTCATCATTTTTTTCAGAATGCCACCTAATTCCATTGGTTTACATTGCAAAATAGTTTTTTTTTCATAGTTCTACGACGCCGGTCGTGGGGGGTACCCCTCGGTGAGCTTGAAAAACTCATTTTTTTAAAACAATATGAAAAGAAATTGATCATTTCGGAGGACCTGTTTCTTGTTGAAACGTTCTAGTTTAGGAACTTCAGACATCCAGGGGTGCTACTCCCCAAAGGGAATTACGTATATGATATATATAGATATATACCCTTATACTTTTACATGGAAGAGACCAAATTCCTTGCAGAAACACATACATAGAATATAGGTCCCCAGTGAAAATAGTTAACAATTTGTTTAGGAACACCAACTAATTCCAGTAGTATTCATTGCAAACTAGTTTTTTTTCATAGTTCTCCGACTCCGTTCGTGGGGGGTACCCTTTGGTGAGCTTGAAAAATTCATTTTTTAATACAATATTTAAAAAAATTGATCATTTCGGGTGACCTGTTTTTTTGTTGAAACGTTCCAGTTTAGGAACTTCAGATATCCAGGATTGCTGCTACCCAAAAGGAATTACGTATTTAATAATTATACATGAAGGGGGCCTTATTCCTTGCAAAACTACATACATAGAATATAGGTCCCCAGTGAAAATATTCATCATTTTTTTCAGAATGCCACCTAATTCCATTGGTTTTCATTGCAGAATAGTTTTTTTTTTCATAGTTCTACGACGCCGGTCGTGTGGGGTACCCCTCGGTGAGCTTGAAAAATTCATTTTTTTAAAACAATATGAAAAGAAATTGATCATTTCGGAGGACATGTTTCTTGTTGAAACGTTCTAGTTTAGGAACTTCAGACATCCAGGGGTGCTTCTCCCCAAAGGGAATTACGTATTTAATAATTATACATGAAGGGGACCCTGTTCCTTGCATATTCTATGTGGGCGGAGCGGCTTATATATTGAAATACCTACATAATATATATATATAATTATATATAATTATATATTTAATTATATATATATATTTATTGTCATCCCTATGCATGAGTATATACGGGTAATTGCGTAATATCTTGAAGTAAATGGGCCACTTTGAAAACAACAATATTCTACCTACCCCTCCAAACCATATTCCAACTACCAGTTTTCGACCTCCCCGGGGGGGGGTCGAAATATTCCAACTACCTGTTTTTTTTAAGTGGCCGACATCCAACATAAATCCCGCACCCTCCAAAAAAATATTCTATCTACTTCAGGATCACTATATATGTATATGTATATGTATATGTATATGTATATGTATATGTATATGTATATGTATATGTATATGTCTGTATGTATGTATGTATGTATGCATGCATGCATGCATACAATGTATGCATGGATGCATGCATGCATGCATGCATGTATGTATGTATGTATATAATATATATATAATTATATATATATAATTATATATATGTGTGTGTGTGCGTGTGTCTGTGCATATGTGCATATATAATTGTTTATTTATCTATTCATTGACTTGTCAAGTGTCTCAGCACGACCAAACAGCTATTGCTGTGAGGACAGGGAAAAAATGGTCACAGCTGGCTCCACAATCCCACGGGCCCTCGCCCAAAGGGGTTGTCTTGGACAACACAAGTCGTGAACGCCATCTATTCATTTATTTATTCATTTATTTATTTATACTGTTATGTTTATATTATATATCAAAATGGGGTCCTAACTTCAGAGATCATGCAATAGCACACGGATGTTCCCTGTGTAATGGGGGAACTGCTGAATAGCATTCAAAACAGCCAATGGACACGAGTCATAACCACTTAAAATCAATGTTTACCAAAATAGAAGCAAGAACATCTAAGAACATCAAAACCTTCAGCTGAAAAATGTCCTCAACGTTTTGATGCCAGCACACAAAGAAGTTAAAATATGAGTTTTGAGCGAGAAAAAAAACATATAATCAAACTCAACTATATCATATATATATATCTAAATATCACACATTACATGCATGAAATCCAGGTATATCCAGCTCGAGTCCTACATCTACATCTATACGCCTGCATGTCGGGAAAAAGAAACGTTAGTCCTACAGTATCTAGTCGCTTGGCCCAGTTAATATCCCATTCATATCCATCAATTGTTAAGTGGATGTTATATCATCAATCTCATTAAACGTCCAATGGATATATATTTAATAGTTTAATATCAATGGAAACTCGTATCCAATTTCACCTATACAATAGAATATCCATCATTATTCATCTTCCATATAACTTTGTAATATATCCCATTAAATTTCGTTGAATCTCCATGGAAGATGAGATCATCCAATGGACCGTCCAGGACCCACCCTGTCAAACGTCCATGTCCACCTTGCGACACCCCGGCAGCGCGGCCGCTCACCAATTCCAAGCCGCACAGGGCGCAGAGGGACTGAGCCACGTACAAGCCGAGACCCAAGGCGAACATGGCTGGATAACCTCGGTCCCCATGGGAAAACCCCCGATTTGGGAAAATGGCAATTTTTGACCCCGAATGCTGAGTGCTGATCTGATATCTATGGATAAAAAAAACCGGCGGTTGTTTCAACAACCTCCAAATGAAAAACTGCTCATATAGCCCATTTGAAGAATGATTTAGAATCCTACACGATTACATAGTCCATCATAGTCCTAGCTCCATGCTTCTGGCAAATCGAAGCGACTCAATCCAATTCTCTCTGGTGGAAAATTGCTGGCAAATATATATCATTTCATTTAATCCAATTTAGCCCCCGATTTCACACGGAAGATCATAGTGTCCTAGGCTTTTGCTGGTTTTCTTTACCAATCCCCCATTCAATAACATTTAATTCCCAATTTACACGGAAAATATGGCTTTTTGACCCCAGCCTCATTGACTGATGAATCTTTGGGCTGCAGAGAAAGGGACCGATGCAGCCGCCGGGCGCAAAGACCACGGTGAAGACGGACGGAACCATGACACACAGAACGAAGGTCATAGCCACCTCAAGGGGATTGTGCATAACAAAAATGGTGATGAAACTGATGAAACTCGGCAATTTATGGGGATTTTTGATGGGAATATCATGGGGGTATATCATGGGTAATGGGATGTTTCTGAATGAGCAAACTTATATAAAAAAATGTTGAAACATTTGGATGTCGTATGGAAAATTGGCATTTTGCAATGAAAGCCATCCATTCGTTCAATCCATATTTTTGCAGGCTACTGCCTATCATGTGCTTGTGGAACTCAATTCGTAGCTCCATGGTTCTCAAGTTGCGATGAGAAAATCCTGGATACCCGAAACGCTCAGAACTGATGCCATCCTGGTGTCTACAAGAATGAGGAATGAGAAATCTACAAAACTCATTCTACTAGACTAAAGGAGAACTGCTGTGCGCGTAGAAGAATGAAAAAACTGAATTCAAATGCAAGTCTAATCCGCGAAATGGGCATGGACCTTGGCTGAACCAACAGAAATGTGGATAGCAGTCAATAACGTATTTCCGGAAATCTCCAATGTGACAGAATATCGGTTCATGCATAAGTCTATGTTCAAAGAGGTCACTTTTTTGGTCAACAATTCAACAACTGCAAGTTCTGCCATTGGCAACATGTTCCGTGTTCTCTGGTTGAAGTGTGCCACTTCCAAGCCTGGAATCTTGGGATAAAATCCCATGCATTCGGGGGATCATCTTTCCTAATGTCCATCTATTAGGGTCAACTAGACCAAAAGTGACCTGTGCATGACTTACATGTTTTCCAAATCCAAATGTGCTAATGTGCTTTTGAGCAGCACCCACAGCTATATATCCTATATGAATACTACCCTGTGGTAAACTAACGTAACTATGGAAAATCACCATTTTTTATGGGTAAATCTACTATAAATGGCCATTTTCAATAGCTATTTTGACATAACCAGAGGGTATCCGAAAATGTCACTGTTGTCACAAGATGTCACAAGCCCCGCGCCTGCACCCGACACCCCACCAGTGGTGCGGTGGATCCCGTTTCACCGCCACGGAGATGCCAGTAGCGGTCGCTCAAGGGACCACTCAGCACGCTGCCGAACAGCCCACCACACCTCTCGGTCAGCCCGGGCACATCCCTTTTTCGTCAGTGTTAGCGTGTGAATGTGAATGTAGAATATGTATGTATGTAATGTAATGTAATGTAATGTAATGTAATGTAATGTAAATGTAATGTAATGTACGTACGTACGTACGTATGGACGTATGGATGTATGGATGTATGGATGTATGGATGTACGTACGTATGTATGGATGCATGCATGCATGTATAAACACACATTTTATAGCCAAGGATGATATAAGGCATTGAAGTACCCATCCAAAGTTGACCCACACTCATCGGTTGATGGGGGATGATTTCATCCATAACTGCCAGCTAGTTTAGAGAGCCTGAATGCAAGGGTTTTGACCCATACCTATCTTAATGTAACAAGGTGTGGAATGGCATTGGTCATAGACACTTGGAACCCGTTTTATCACCAACATCGGTGGCTTCCGGCAAGCCATGATTTCTTATCGGAGGATATCAATATGGGTTTTAAACGCTCTAAAACTGGGAGCGGTGAATCTGTTCTTTCCATGTGCAATTTTGACCCTTTTCGGTCCCCACTAGTCCATCTCAACTGGGAATTTCCATTTCGTCTCGTTCCGTTCGTTGTATGCGGCACTCGTAGAAAAGCGTCAAGTGCTTCACTTGTAGCCGCTAAGCATCCTCCTGATTCCTGGATATCTCCTGTTTATCATGGAATAAACACACCATCTCGCTACCCACGCACAATGGGATGATCAATTGCAGTTCCTGCATAGTATCATAGTATCCTGCAATGGGATGAAACAACCATATTTTTGGGGAAAAACATGATCAATTGCAGGCGTTTCTTTTTTGTGCGACTGAGATGGAAACCACCAGATTTTCTTCCAAGCCACTCAAAAGTACTGAGGCGCGGCGCGGCAGAGAGCGCATTGTGCCCATAGGACTGCACCTCCCCAAGATGCGCAAGAAGAGTGCACCCCCAGCACCGAAAACTTGAACTTGGGATCCATTTTAACGGATGATTTTCCTATCCCATGTTGGGATTTCACAATCCAAAATGACCATCCAAAAGTCTGATTTACCAACCAGGGATCCTCTAATCAAACTACAGTCGATTGTTGAAGTCACAGCAAGTTTCTTGAATGTGGACATTCATGGCTTGTGGAAAAGTCACCATGACCCGGTCACAGCAGGGTCACAATCCATCAACACACAAAGGGGTTGTCTTCATGTAAAGGATATGAAGCAACAGCAAAATCAACACGTTGACTCTAATTACATAGTCTTTGCTGGGCATTTGTCTCAGGTGGTTCCATTCATAACTAGTTTTCATTACAAATGGGATTGCGAATTAGGTGTTCATGAGTAATACCATTGACTCCATTTGTATCCATTTGTTATGAACTAACCACTGACAAAGGGATGATGTAAAGTACGATAATTCTGGAACTAATGATTGCTTGCTTTTCATTGATTCCAGCTACTTTCCATTGGTACTGGGATGATCACTGCGGTTCTCAGAGGTCCCCATGGCCCCATGGCCCCATGGCCCCATGGCCCCATGGCCCCATGGCACATAGAAGGCCAACCAGCAGATCAGTGCGCTCTTCAGGCCGTAGATGAGAAAGTTGGCCATGGCCAAACTGGCCATGCCCGGCTGCAGCAGGCAGCCCCGCCAGAACAATGAGGCGCCGCCTGTCGGACGGGGTGGGAACGCCAGCACGACTAGGTCCAAGCAACGAAAAATTGGGGAAAAGGTGGCAAATACCGAAGCAAACCATGTGAGCAGATCAACCCAGGAAAGTCTGCCCAAAAGTATCACTATAGCCCCCAACGAGCCATGGCCAGAGCCCTTTTTCCAAGTCACTGAGCTGATCCTCCGCGGAGCCCGGCACGGCAGGAGCTGCTGCCGCCTTCGCCTTCGCCGCCTTCGCTGCCTTCGCCGCCTTCGCAGCGGCAGCGGCACTGGGAGAGTCGTGCACCAGGAGAAAGACCAGGAAGCTGACGACGGCCGCGCTGAAGCCTCCATCGCAACGTGGTTTTTGCTCACCCAAGTCGGTGTGTTGCTTTATTGAACCCCGTTTCTGATAAAAATACTCAAACCGTAATCAATTCACTGCGGCAACCGTCCCCCAAGGATTGGAAAATCTCGCCTGCCAGCAGCAGACTTCCACGCCAGCCAGCAGCTGCCCCCAAGCCTACCATTAGCGGCGCTAAGGCGCCACCCAGGTTGTTGGACACGTTCCACAGCGACCAGAAGAAGCCGCGCTCCTCGCGGCGGATCTTTTTGTGGTTTTATATATCATATCTCAGCGTCAAGTTATCGTGACGCAGATGCATCAGCCTGGCAAACGAAACTATAAAGCCAAGGCAGTGGGCGGCATAAGGTCAAACCTTCATATCAGTTTTCCCCCAGCTACATTGCCAGTTTAAACCCCATTCAGCTAGAGATTTGGAAACACAATTTTAATTAGAGATAGCGTAGGTTTCCCTTCTCCTTGGCGCTGCACCAGGCACTGATGATGCGGGCACAGGAAGGACTCCCCAAGCCCTGGAAGAGACCATTGAGGGCCCACAGACCTGCCAAGTGGGAGCACCGAGAAAGTGACAAACCGGTCCCGCTAAAAGGCCAAGTGAAACCCCGTGGAAATAGATCAGGGCGTCACACCAGAACATTGGCTTCGAATGAAGCAACGTTTTCTCCCAAATCATCGCTGACACGAAGCAAGACAAAAAGGTGGGTTTGGGACTCAAACAACACTCTGCCAAGCCAACCGACCCTTTTTGGTCCAAAAAAAAATCGGGTCCATTCTCCCATTTTGGTCCCAAAAAAAGATGTCCTAAACCTCCGCTGCAAGGCACCTGCCAGGATCAGCACCAGCTTGGTGGCTCCGTCGCCGGGCGCCAGGGACGCCAGCACGTTGCAGCCAGCCGTCAGCAGGAGACCAACGACCAGGCACCGGGAGGGCGAGAGGTCGGCCGTCAGCACGCTGGAGAGGATCTGGGGCGTTGGGACATGTTGGGACCATGGATCCAGGGGATCCACTTCACCGGCAGTGCTATCTTTTGGGGGGCGGATGTAAGAATGCACATTGTGTTTCAAGCAGTAAAGGAGATAAGCAACATATTAGCCACAAATATGGGGATGTACTGGAAACGCATGATGATTAACCACTGACTATTAATTAAGTCAGAAAAGATTCAGATATATATAATCAGCTCATTTGGACCCCAAGGGCTTACATATCATCAGGATGAATAATTACTCAATGGGTGGATGGCCGTGCATCGCAACGAAGCAACAAAATGGGAGTTCTCATCTCTTGGCGAAGCCCTGAGAAAAATGATAGGCCACTACAACCTAGAAATAGCATCTATACTATAACCTCAATATATACTTTTTAGCGGCTTCAAATCTGGTGGGGGCTATGGTACAATGGCCTCCTTGTTTTGGACCCTCCCCAGCAGCTCATCCGCCGGCGCCAGCCTTGCTGAAGCCGATCGAGATCTGTCCGCAGCTCAGGATCGCCCCCAACCTGCGCAGGTCCAACCCCTCTTCCCTCACGATGGCCGGGGCCGCATAGGTCAGGGACAGGCGACACACGTAGTACCACGAGTAGCCTCGATGCTCCAAGCGGTCACAACGGCCCAAAACAGTGTTTAGAATACACTAAAGATAGGGAAACAAGGAAACAGCCGAACGAAGGATTCAACAACATTGTTTTTGCACACAGAGCCTCCCGGTGAAAAAAACATAATGCCTAGTGAGGCCCCAGCAAAAACTTGACATCATCCAGGCAGCTGAGCACGAGCCCAAAAACCACCACCAAGCGCTTGCGTTTCCGCTCCCGGTGCTGATGATCCTGTGCCGCGCTGCGCACAGCGATCCGCGAAGACTTGAAGGCCACCCGCGGGTAGGGCCGTGGCGCGAGCGGCGCCAGCGGCAGCAGCGCCAGCGGAGACGCCAAGGGGAAAACCCCCGGGGCAGCTGGGCCGGCGCGCAACATCAGGGGGCCCACCAGCAGCACCAGCGCCAGCTCCAAAGAGACATGGGCCAAGTTTTAAAAATGAAGAGGACCACAAAGAGAATATGACCCAGCTATTTTGGAAACGCTTTTGGTGTCTGAGTTTGTTTCGCAGCCATGGAGGGGGCTTCAAGATTGGTGGTTTTTCCTAGGATGAGCAGTTTGGTTCTAACTTAGAGGGCGGCAAAGCATGGAACTGATGGGGAACAATTGGGATGAAGCCTCAACATTGCCAGCGACTCGCTGCCTGCCTGGTTTGAACACGTTGCAAACCAAATTTGCACATTTAAGGCAAATCGTTGTTTGCAACCAAATTGCCACGGGCATCACTTCTTTTCCAATTTCAAACCAAATGCCTGCAGCATTGGGAGACCAACTGCACCAACAACATCACCATTTCGATTGGGGAAGTGGGTGCCCACAAAACTAAACCTTGCAACTTGTGGATAGCTTGGTGTTTTTGCGGTGGCAATCCACATTAATCCACCGGCAGCCGGCAACGGCTATTTTTTTGCCCTGCGCTGTCAACATATGGGACCACGGACCCAGGGACATTGGCTGCAGGCTTCATCACTTGCGGTATCCAGAAGTTGACGAGGTCAACTATGGTCCACCATGGTCCACCATGGTCCACCATGGTCCACCATGGTCCACCATGGTCCCACTCTCATCCCCTTGGCAAGTCAGCGAAGATATCAGCAACCGTGTCCGCCTCTTAGCGAGATGGCTATCATCAGTAGTGTGGTCCGGGTCAGCCGTTCACCCACGCTTGCTGCGGTACCAACGGCGGAAGTCCCGGCGATCTTGGTGCATCCATCCAGCCAATACGTCGCCTAGCATCTGCATCGAGCTCATGAGCTGAGGGTCTCACAAGGTTTAGAGAAGGATCCAAATGAATCCAAATGGCAGTTTTAATCATATCAAGTCCCCCAACTACAGTCCTCCCTATATGGCAGCAGTTCGCCCACCTTCAAAGCCACTGACCAACCACAAGGCCGCCCGCAGCACATCGCGGATACAGCGCCAGAGACTCTCGGACTGGGGGGCGGTGCCTGTGGGCCTCGGCAGTGCCAGGTCTCCCACAATCTCCAATTCTGTTGTGGTAAAACCACAACCATGTCCTAATTGTTCCCGATTTTGTAGATAATTTAAGCCTATTATGTCAATTAACATGTTCCATAGCAAACTGTTAAACTACTAGATGGTACCCATTTTTGGGCAAACCCAAAAATGCTGGTTGGTGAAGAACAGGATTCCCAGCTCCTCGATTATGAGTGTCCTCTTGAACGCAGGCACCTCTCAGTTAGTTTCCCCTGCTCCTTGAGATGGTTAAACTCCAATCATTTCTTAGTTTCTAAAACCACTGTTTGCTATCAAATACTTCCCACATCATCTGGGGGGTTAGCAAAATCCTGAGTTATTAACATGTACAATATATATATATATTTATTTATTTTAAAAAAAAAAAAACTGTAATATTCTCCATGTTTTCCGCAAACCCAGTGAGCTTCCCCCCGTTTTTTAACCATCCAAGGTACAGCTCCACTTCGGCCACATGGAAGGAGAGGCCGTAGAAGCCCAGCAGCAGCGCAGCCACGCCTCTGACGCGCCGCGCGTGGTAGGCGCTGGTGAGCACCACCACGTCCACCGAAGCGGAACCACCTGGCTGCTGGTCAATGGTGATGCATGATAACCACTGTGTTTTTGGATATTGAGGATATGAAGTAAGGCTGATTCTCACCAGTAATCACCGAGAATGTATGGTCATCATGAAGATTGAAGATCATTACAATGGGAGGTATGGTTGGGAATTATGTCTAAGTTGAAAAATATGCAATTGTATGGGTAGTTCTATGGTAATAGTCCTGAGGGTGATTGTACAGTGTATTTTAAAAAAAATGATATAACTTAACTGTTTTAAATTATAAATGAAAATGGTTCCAAAATGGATCAGATAGGATGGATAAACCGATTACCTGATTGCCACATGCTTATTTATCATCCGCCCTAGGCATAACTGATTTTGCAATCCCATCCCGCAAAGGGCTACCGTTTGATCCATCCTGGTACTGCGCCCATCTCCCTCTGGGCCTTCCTGCTTCAGCCAGCCCTTTCTTCTGAGGTGGCGCAAGAAACTCGTGAAGTTGGACAAAGTGTCCAAAGCGTCCTGGGCTCTGGTTTCGAGACTCCTAGAACCCGGACCACCGGGAGGCTCCACTCGGTTCACTGCCAAGGCTCACGATCCAACACCAAGAGCTGCTGCAGCAGCTCCCACTGAACTCCCTCCATTCGCTGGAAATCTTCGCGCAGCTTGAAGTGACCACTGGAGAAGAAAGCAACGCGGCCATGCGGCAGCCTGTGCCAGATGAAGCATCTGCATTCAGCAGTGACAAACAATCAGTGATCAAACTTTTCCAGCGGGAAACCTATTGCCTCAATACGGCCTATGGATTTCTCCATGTGCCATGGATTTCCTCCCAAGCCGCCCAAGGCGGTTTTGCCTGGCCAGTTTTGTTCCCAGCTGGGCACCCAGAAGATCGCGCTCCGGCTCTCCGCCGCAGATCAACAGGAAGGGCGTGCCATGGACCAGGCACAGTTCTGCCAGGGCCACCTGGTGGGTTCCGGTGGTGAAAAGCGGTGGGGTGGGAGATGCCACAAAAATGATAGCCATGTTCAGCTTCAAGACTTTCTAGAAATGGTGACTTGATGTGACTTGTCCACTTTCATGACTTATGTTGTTTTTTCCACTTCCAGGTTTTAGCCCCCGCTGCCACGCCACCGATCCAGCAGCTGGATGCTGCCGCAGCAGTGCTGCCGCTCGCTGATGGCACCTCCAGCTACGGGCGGCGGCCACGCACCAGTGACCTGCTTGCGCAGCATCAGGAAGAAGGAGAAATGCCGCAAACCATCAGTTTTCTGACTGTGACACTGGTAGATGTAGGGGATGAGGATGACGATGACGAGGAGGATGATGATGATGATGATGATGATGATGACTCTTGTGATTCTTGTGATTCTTGTGATTCTTGTGACTCTTGTGATTCTTGTGATTCTTGTGATTGTGCAGGCCACATCCTGAAAATCGTAGATGATGATGACGATGATGATGTTAACCATGTAATAAGTGTCATTGATGACTATTCTTTGCAAATAATGGCAGATGAAGATGTTGATAATCATGGTTGTTAGCTATGAAGAGTCACATGTTGTTTACGTATTCCCAAACGTTTTTTAATGATATGTTGTGTGATTCTCCTATCCTGCAGCTCGGCGCCGGAAGTCCCACATCTTTGCCGGGCCACCAAGGGCGTACACACTGACAGCCACGGCAAGAAGGAGGAAGACCTGCCGCGAATCGGAAACCATCGGAATCATGGGAAAATCTATATGGAATACTATCAGGATTACTTCACAAACTATTTCAATATTACATAGCCTTACTATCCCAGTATATACTATCAGTATTGCAAATGTATTCCATAACAACTTAATTACTGAGCTGAAACCCCAAGTCCACCGAGCCTCCAGCCTCAACGGGATGCTGATCATGGATATCATGGGACGTGTCGAGCATGGCGAGCGGATGCGAGCGGGGCAGGGCCCGCAGGGGCTTTTTGCCACGCTGTACGGTCTGGTAATCAAAGGTGGGTGGAAAATCATGGAAAATCCTCTGTAGATGGTGAGTTTCCATGAGTTTTCAATGTCTCCTAATTTTTGGATTGGTTGAAGCTTCACAAAATGTGCAAGGGAGATCAGACCAGCGTTCCCAGGATTTGGGTTCTACCAAACTCTGCTGGAGGTTCTACCTTTTGGCCCCCCCAAAAAGTCCTTTTTCATCCTTTTTCCATTTCCCTTTTGGTGGGCTACGAGGGCGTCATCTCCATCAACCCCAGGTCACTACCCAAGTCGTCCTTTCAAGCGAGGCGGAGATTCTCTGCACAAGTCTCCGCAAACTCTAAGGGGTTCACTTTGGAACCCCGGATCCACGAGGGCTGGTCCTCAAGATCGAAAGCTCAACGACAGATGGTGATCATCGCGCTTTGTGGTGTGATCATCCCAAGAGTTTGGGAAAGATCACTATCCCATCCCTCCATTCATAACCCATCATAAACCACAATGGATGTAGAGGATTCCCGCATATTTGTCATATTAGGGGCCCCACCTCCACAGGATCCGTCCCTTCGCTGCCAGAAGACTCTCCCCCTGGGTCGCCAGCAATGGGAGGCTAGGTGCCTCCAAGGCTGCGCATGAAAACGGGCATGGATCAAAAAGGCGGTACACAACTGATCCCAACCCCTTGAAGCGAATACATGACTGACTGTCAAGGGCCAGGCCCAGCTCCTACTTATTGGTGTAACCAATTTAAGCAATTTGGGCTCAATCAAGGCTTTCTTGTAGTCTGAACAGGGCTGCTCACTCTATGCTTTGTACAACTCCCTCCGTCAGAAGCGATGGCTGCATTGCGCCATGTCAGAAGGCAAAACGCTTCCAAAAGTCACAAACTTACCTAATGTTGAAATGTCATGCCCCAGACCAGGTCACAACTCATAACCCTGATGATTGGATATGATTCGAATAAAATACCAGCGTCTTTTCAACATCTGACCGTGGGGTATTGTCAGCAACGCAACCGGCACCTCCCCCAACCTTCCTGCGCGCAGCGCTTCACTCGGTGGGTGGCACGGTTTCGCCCCAGAAGAAGAACTCGCAGTGACGCTCCTCGGGACGGGATGAGCTCGGCAATTTTTGGGTAAGAGATGGTAAGGTAATCACATCGAGATGGGGATAGTTACGGATAGTTGCCAATTCATCAACCAAGATGGGTAGCTTCCAGGTCCAATAGGTGATGTAAATCTGGTGAAGTGACCAACTTGGGCCATTTTGGGGGTCAAGAACTGGAACCTTCAGATAAAAAGGCTAGAGTCAGGCCCGTTTCTCTAGCATGATCACGGAGTGGAAGAGTTCCACAAGCGTTCCTAAAACATCAACACCCATCATCAGCTATATAATCTATATATATACATCCCCATGTTTCATCATTCTTCTTTGTCAAATCCTGATCTTTCCGTCCCTTTCGTCACTTTCCTCCCATTGGCCCTGCGCCAAAGCATCCGCTTCCGGTGGAAGGCCCAAACCCTCTTCCAGCATCTCTCGTTCTGCAGCCTCGCGGCGCAGCTGAAGGGGCAAGTCCTGACCCAAGGCGCGCCCCTCAAAATCGAACTGTTTCGAGGCAAAAATCAGCAGCTTCCCATAATTTTCTCCACATTGAAAATATGCTATCTCGAACTCAACTGCTTATTTTTCATCAGTCAGTTTTCTTCCATCATTTGGTGCATATTTGCTAATCATTTGGCATGAAAATCGGCCAAATTTGTCCTTCACCTCCAGGGGCCAACGCATGGCCTCGCGCCGCACGGCCGCAAAGAGCAGCTTCCCCACGCGCTGCCCCACGTCGCTGGCCAGGGCCTCGTTCCAGGCCTCGGTCTGGTGATGGCTATGATACAGTTAGCAACCGCCGAAACCCCTAAAAGGTAAGAAAACCTACGGAAAGAAGTGTGAAACATGAAATTTGGAGGCGTAGTAGCGCCCAAAAGATTACAACGATCAGGGGAAAAGGATCGGGAAAAGGATCAAAATAAATTAAATGTTAGGATTGAATCTTGTTTTTCTCCAACTTTTCGTGGAGTTGCCATACCATGGTTAAAGATCTTGGAATGACTGATGCAATGGGGGACATACGAAGTTTGGAACTCGTTTCCATGGCATGATTTTGGGAGTAGTCCCCTTCTTGTTGCATCCGCAAACTTGGCCACCAACATGAATCAATATGATCCGTTTCTAACGGAATAAGCCAGATTGACGCCCTAAGTTTGCCATGGAACCCCAAAATGACCATATCCAGGGATGGAAATCATTTTCCCAACCCCATTTTTGTGGTTCCAAGTTAAGTCTATGGAATGAGTTTACCCATTAGATCCGCAAGGTGGGTCCCCGAGGGAACGGCTAGGTGAATTCTATGGTTTATGGTAGATATATCAACCTAGTTCATGGATATTGTGAGAACCAAAGTATACCCACTCATTCGGGAAATCCTCGATGTACATCCATTTATTCCATGGATTTATAGAAGATTCGATGTACATCCATTATATATCAACCATGGATTTTTCATGGATTGTCCCATGTCTTCAGCGTTTCACTGGTTTCACTGGGACGGCCCGCCTCGCCCTCGCCCACGCCGCGGGCCGAGCGCAGGCTCATGTCGAAGAGCTGGGCCAAGCCCTTGGTTTTTCAATGTGGGACCCGTGAAGAGCTGGACTTCACCCCTGGAAATAGGCTTCAAACTCCAAAAAATCTATGATCAATATGCGTTTATATGGATTTACCGGAGAAAGGTAAGGAAATGATATTAATGTCTTGCGATTTTATGATGGGGAAGTTGGTTATTTGTGCTGGATATCTTGGATATAGTTACAGTAGATGGGGCTATAAACCATCTTACTGGGGGTTCCAATCCTATCAGCATGTTTTAGAAGACAATCATCGTGGATTGGGAGTCAAGGATAGTCCAAACCAATGGCACCCCATTCCATCCAATGGCTTCAAACACCCATATCATACTTGCTGGCATTGCACATAACAAAATATTATATGTATATGATATCTCTATATATATATATTCCATCATATCCCCACGGAATGGCCGATGCCATCCATTGAATCCCCCAATTGATCACCAATTTTGAAACAAAACCAAGCTCTACGGCACCACACCTGCGAGGAGAGTTGGAGCAACATGGCCCCTGTGATCTTGGGCGGCAGCACCAGGTATTTGAAGAGGCCGTTGTTCACCGTCCTGATCCACCTGGGATGTGATCGTTGTGGCAAAACAACCATCCAAAAAATGTGCAGAAAAAAAGGGGAAAAAAATAGAAAGATCGGGAACATTTTTTATGGATGGTTATGAACTTGGATTCCAAATTTGAGGGATGTACTTTTGAATCGTTTTTTTGGGACCTCCGGGACCATTTTTGGGGGGTCCCCAGCAAATACCCCAAACCCTGCATTCATCGCCCAGCAGCAAGTTCACCTCCTCGTTGCTCCATTCCCAAAGGGGCCTGCAACATTTGTTAAGCTCATTTTACCTTATCAAAAGATTTCCCATGAAATGTTGCAAGATCACCTCCGGAACCACTCACCCTACTGATCTAGTCTGATTTTTGTCTGCTGCAAAGGAGAGATCGCATCGTTTCACAAGCCACATCCCATGTCCACGGTGGCACTTCGACCAGCAATTTCGTCCATCACATCTTTCAGCGTTAGGAGGTTGATGAAATTCTTCTTGAAACCGACATCAAACGCAACCAATATAAACATCTTGTGTTGCCATTTCCAACCGTTCTCTATATTTACACCCCACACCTGGAAGCCATGAAGGAAGTTAAGGGCAACTCCACGCAGCACTCTGAACGCAGGGTGGACAACGCCTTGGACCTGCGATCCATGGACGAATCTTGTTCAAAAATGTTCAAAACACATGTTTTTTTTTAAACCCTGTATTTTTTAAACCCAGTGGGAAGAGGTTGAAATATTGAACTCCCCTTCGCCAACTTTTACCTGGAATCTTGCGTCCCCCATTGTCCTATGGGTCAGGTTGTGATTAAATTTCAAAGTGCAAGTTTGGGCTCCCCAACGCCCCTTAATTTTCTCCATTCAGGCACTTTTCCTACCTACCCTCCAGCAGTTGAACATGGCCATGGCAAAGTCATTTATAAATGACTTTACCTACAAAGAAAAGTGATTCTCCATAGCAAACTGTTAAAAGACCAGAGGATACCTGCCCTCGTTGAGCCCCCACTTGGTGCTTCCCACATCTGCGTCACTTGTAGCAGCGAGTTGGTGCTATGCAACAAGTCGGTGGCCGTTGGAGAGATCGTGGCTAAGATGAGGGTCCTGGAGCATGGTGAAAGTGATTCAAATCATCCTATGGGGAGCCCAACTGGGGATGAATCCTGGGTTTTTCTTGACAATGACACACCAGGACATACGAAACATTTAAATCATTTAAGGAAGGTTGGAGATTGGTGATAAAACAGCAACAATATCAACAATCATCGGGATCACACTGTGCGAATTACATTGGTATCATGCACAAGTCAAGCCCCTACTGGGACGGTATGCTGCCCACTGTCCGGTGCTCTGGCGTGAAGCAAGACCGCAACACCTGTGGCTGGGCACCGAGATTGGGCTCAAATGGGGATATATCAGCACTACCAACACATGAGCTCAAGGTCAAAATCACGAAAGCCCCAGAACTCATCCACATTGACCTATTCACACAATGGAATCACATCCCGTGCGTTTCGGACCCCTTGCCCAAGCACCTGAGTCAGGCTGCTGGAGCGATACGGCACCCGGGTGGACTTTTGTCGGAGCAGCTGAGCATGGGCACGGAAGCAATCCTGCCAGGGTCGTGATCCCTGCCTCCCCCACGATCAAACATGGCAATGGAAAATCTCGTTCATAAATCCCTCCTCTGAGTCTTCATGATCTTAATGAGAAAATAATCAAACAAAATAATATTGTTCAGTTGCCATCATGTTTGATGAGTCGTTCCACCTGCACCTTCAATTTCAAGTTCGCTGCCAGCTTGCTGACCATCTCATTGGCCGCTTGAAATCAACGAAACCATGCCATCAACTGTGACCCTTCTGGAGCAGGTCAGGTTCAACAGGGTTCTGAAAAAGGTTCCGGAGAAGGTTCCGGGAGGCTTTGGTGCAGAGCCAGGTCAGGTTCAACAGGTTTCCGAAGTCGCTAGAAAGCAAGTTTGAAATCCACTGAGACCAAACACTACAGTGAAACAATTTAATTCTGCAATATATCATCATTGTTGGGTTGCAAAGCTGGGCTAATCAATTGAAGGGTTCCAAAAAAAAAGATGACCCCATCACCCCAAATCCCGAAGTGCCAGAAAGGACCTCCCCAAAAAGAAAAATGGATCCACTGCATCTCCTTCAGCGCCATCAGCGATTTGTTGATCTCTGCAAAGTCCCGGTGCTGCTGCGCCGTCATGGACCGCGTCTCGTAGTTCCGCTCGCTGCCGGCCAGGTCCACGAAGCGCAGCGTCGTTGTTCCGCCGTCCAATGCCAGGACGCAGACGGCCTCGGAGACCGCCGTCTCGGGGGTAAACATGTTGCGGCAACCCCTCAAGAAACGGATAAATTACATGTCATTGCATACCTTTTTCGGATTTCCTATGTCGAAAAGCTCATAAGATGAACATTCCTGATACAACACTGGTGATAAAATCTGGGTTTCATCTCCCATCCCAACCATTCCGACAAGTCTACCCAAAAATACAATTTTTCTTTCCTGCAAACCATTGACAACAAACCGCAGCAAGTACGGCATAGTACGGTCACTAATATAGTCCACCTCAATTTCCATCATTTGGGGATGGGTCAAAACCCTGGTACCCCTGTAGTTCACATCAAAATAGCTGGTAAATGGATGTTCATCCCACTAAAAATGGTACTTATAGGTATTGATCCATAGCCATTTGTCACACCCAAGGCGCATGACTTCGGGAGCTCAGCGGGTTCCGCTCCGTGGCTTCGGAGCGCCGCAGGCGCAGCGCTTCTTCCAGCAGCGACGGCAGCGCAGCGGCGTCCGCGGAGAGCGTCAAGGCGCCCCTCGCGGCGTGGAGGGCCAGGTTTGGGGCCCCAAGTTATGGGCCAAAAACGGTGGTGTTTACCAATTTAAAAAGGAAAATGTGACGAGAATTTCTTGCGTTAAAGATTGGTGATGATTTTTTAACTGGCTGGCCACTTGGAGGATCACCCCATTCAGTAGCCGATTAGCAACTGGGACTTTAAGCTGGTTATCAATGGGATAACACGGGAACCAGGGACTTAATCATCAGAGTTTTTGAAGATACATCCTATATAAGTGGGATGATCCGCTTGCACGACAGCCACAGCCATGATGGGCCACGAAAAAAATTGGGTGAATTCGGGCACTGCTTGTCAACCAAGAGTCGTTGGATACATGCATGTTGGGAAATTCCAAAAAGCATCAATCGTGAGTCCCTATGTAATGACATTGTCAACCAAGAGTTTGTAGACATAAGAGCCTTGGGCAATTTTCAATAATTGCAATACAGTTTGCAGACATGTTGCTTGATTTCGGGGGTAGCAAGATCCTTTCAACGGATACATGCTGCTTAGTTTTGAGGGTTTGTACACCGACGTATTTTTCATGTGTTGCGTAACCCTAACAATTTCCTAACTAAGGATCTCGACTCTGTGAGGGTCATTCAAGAAGTTTCGAACCAGATGGTTTGACAGTCCAAACTCGGTGCTTTCTGATATCAGAAATGGAAAGGGAGCTCAGAAGAATGGTGGGACGCGTGCCATGCGGGTTCTTCCCATTCGCAAATGGGGCTGCAACCAATCCCACTGCATTGTACCGCCATTCAGCTCCATTCATATCTGGCAGGGGCCCAACATTGTATTTCAAGCAGAAGCCACAATCCAACGATCCCCCCCAAAGTCATTGCAGTACACTGGCTTTTTTGGAACGGAATTCTCATCATGGACGATGATCATCCGCAATATATAAAGGATACAGCACAACCTGGTACAACCCCCAGAAAGCATCAACCAACTACTCCTTCCGTCGTGCCTGACGTGCACGCGTTCCTCGGCATCCGATCTCAGCGTCACCTCCTTCCTCTGCTGCAGCAAATCGTAACCTCAGGCACTGCAGGCCCACAGGGATTCAAATCTTACCAAGCCTCGGCTATGAACTACTTCGCCCTTGACGCCTTGACGGCGAAGAGAGCCAACCCTGTTGACGCCCTAAACCCGACCTACCATTGACAAATAGCCACGATATGCCACGATGAACATCAACAAACTATAAATAATATACTTCCCATTCCAGTGATGATCATCAAACTATCCGGTTTGAGACAAGAAAAAGAAGACGAAGTTTTCCCGGCTTACCAAAAGCAGCGTCATCTTTTTCGCAGGATTGTCTGATGATAGAATTCACCACAACCTGAGCACTCATCAGCCACTCCTTGTCCTCGAAACCGCGAACCTTTTCACCTTGTCCCACTTACAAGTCAGCCATCGCTTCCATGTTTGCCCCCACCCCACAAGGTAGTGCCTCAATTCGTTAGCTAGGTTGGTCTATGTCACAAATATTTCACTAGGGTTTATGGTAGATTCGAACTAGAATCACTAGAATAGCCACTCAATGGGGTGAAACTGAACTAAACCAACGAACATACCCTCCAATCAAAGATGCCAATGGAAAATCCTCCTTTAGTTAGAGATAGTTACAGCAAGTGCTGCCACAGAAGCATTTCTTTCCATGGATCTCGAAGAAGGTCACTGCAATGCTCCGCCCGGCCAGGTCAGCCCCAAGGCGTTTCCAGCAGGCATTGAACGTGTGCGTCTTGCCGGTGCCCGTCTGGCCATAGCAGATGATGGTGGCGGCCTCACGGGAACCGGGACGGGAACCGGGACGGGAACCAAAACGGGAAATGGGGGAAGAGGATCTTCTGGAAATCACATGTCTTTTAGGGGTTTCGAGGTTCATGTGAAATGGGGGTGGCAGCACTGTTTGGGGAGTTGCAATTTTTTCGTTTAACTGGCCCTGAAATTTGGAGTTGATTTAGACGATTCACCTCACGGGCAAAAATACCCCCGCTGTCAAATTGTATATATAGGCTCGTCTCTGCTCCTGGAACCACATACGATGGGGTGGGGGGGTGGGTGGGATGTTAACGTTCATGTGAATTAACGTGGGATGTTAACGTTCATGTGAATTAACGTTCAACGTTCATGTGAACTGCAGAAGCAGTTGATGCTACGTTGGGGGGGGGTGGGGTGGGATGTTAACGTTTCATGTGAACTTGCAGAAGCAGTTGATGCTACGCACACGCGGGGGGGGGGGAGGGTGGGGTGGGTGTTAACGTTCATGTGAACTTGCAGAAGCAGTTGATGCTACGCACACGCGGGGTGGGGGGGTGGGGTGAGATGTTAACGTTCATGTGAACTTGCAGAAGTAGTTGATGATGATGATGATGATGATGATGACCCTAATGAAACTTTTCAATTCCGCGACTAAATTTCGTCACGGAATGGACAAGTTTTACCAACCTAATTCAGGTTTGCGCGGTCCCAAGAGCAGGGACGAGGCTATATATACATATATCCGTGATAGTTTTTCTTCAAGCTTAGCAATGCTGGCCCCCGAGAACTTCTCAGCCTCCTCTTCCTTCAGGGAAGTCACCAGAGGCTTCACCTCAATTTTGAGCGAACCTCTTGAAATGGTACAAATGATTTTGACCTATATATATATATACTTTCAAACAATGATCGTTTTATAAATCAGAAAATGCCTGAACGACCCCTGCAAGCCGCGGTGTGCGTTTTCCCAGGCTAGCTTGAATTCATGTGCTAAAAAAGTTGCCAGATTTGGACCCATGCTGGATGCCCTTTAATAAAGCCCCTGTCAACACAGGAAGACAACACAGGAAGATGCTGGGGCTTAGCCTCCAAAAGCCAATGGAGGACCAGCAAAATCCCAGGAAAATCCGTCCCAGTCACCGCGTCTTCGTAGAACTCACTGTCCGAGACTGAGGAGTCATACGCCTGATCCTGAGGGAGGGACAAAAAAAAACCTCTTTTTGCCAACTTTTCCCAGCACATCTTAACCTTTTTTTTTCTAACAGGTTCAGTGCCGAAAACATCAAGATAGTTCTAATCCTCAACCATCGCCACCACTTCTGGGTGCGACGCAACTTAACCCCCCAAAAAATAGAAATGTGATATACAATTATCTCTACTGTTTTTTTTTATTTTTTTTACAAATTTCGATCGTTTTGGTGGTTACTACACGCCATTTAAGCACCTTTGTTTTGGAAGCAATAAATGGATTTTTGCCGGAGGGTTCAATCCGCTGGGCTTTCCGCGATTGCAAAAGGTTGACCATATTTACAACCCACTATCAACCAATGTTATGTGGGCTTGTCGGTAAATCCAGCTATGTAAGGGGTACACCTCATGTTCAAACGCACCCGTATCATATTGTTGGCTATCTCCTATTTTGTCGCCATCATCCACCAAGTTATTACTTTGTTTTTCACCGGTTTTAGTCGAGGTTGCTTTCATCAACTTTAACCACTGGCAATATCAACATATATCAACCACCCAAACAGCATAGTTGCCGTTGCTATCCATGAAAAATCCCCATGATAGTTGCTCAATGCTCAGCATCCCCAAAACCCATCAAAACCCACGGGGTTCACCACGGTTTCACCAGCTTCATCCCAGATCAGATCATCCCAGCGTCCAATACGAACTTCTTGTGCAACATCTCGAGGCGCCTTCCCGTGCGGTGTAGCCGCCCGTCGTGGCAGACCACCCGAGCACAGCTCCTGGAAGACAGCGAACCAGGTTTGGGGGCTGATGTGAAACTTTTTACCATGCAAAATTTTAAAATGTTGGAAAAGATGGATTTTAATCATTTTAATCATCAAAAAATAATGTAAGTACATGGGATAGTGGCAAGCCATCTAGTGTTCCTGCTCGATCTACCAAGCGTAAGACTAGACTACCAGGTACGGCAGCTTCACCAAAAAAATGGGTCACAAGCTTAGACCTAGAAAACCTTCACTTACGATTTGAAAACCATCTCAAGACGGTGAATGTCCCGAACCGGATGTGTCGCCATGTGATGCTCAAACAGAGGGATCATCTGAGGATCCCGAAAATAAACCAGGACATCCAGAGGCCCACTATGTAGGAAAATGATGGAAATTTGACAACGTACCCCACGCCTGAGGTGGAGCCATGTGAAAAACTGCGTCTGAAATTTCTTGGAAAATCTCCGTCCATGTGGACGGAAACCAGAATCCCCTGGCCCAAAACCTCCAAAAATCCCCTGGCAAACTTTGCTCCTGGACACTGTGACGCAGTCCCAGTCCCCGGCGGCGACTTCGAAGGGCAGCAGAGGTCGCTTTCTGGCCATAAACCTTGGCACATTGTCACATGGCAGCAGAAGTGACATAATAGGTGCATTTGAAGTTGGGATGAATGGATGCTTTAGGTAGGAAACCTCCTCAGGATGGGAATCATACGATCCAAAGCAATCACTTCGAAAGTTTCCAGGCATTCTGGCGCTTGCAAGTGCACATCCGGAGCACATCAAATGTAAATGCGACTTCCCTACTCATCGACCTACTTTGTGCATCACAACCACCCGAAGTCGTGTGGGATCATCTGCACACTACCTGATAAAAAAATACACACACCTTCGTCTGGATCACAATCCTCTTCCAAGAGTTATTGCCCTTCCAACCACACCCAGGTTTTCGCTGCACCCCACCTGATACCCGGTCGGTCGCTGGCGGCCGCCACCGGCTTTGGCGCCCGCCGCCAATTGGCCAGAAATCCCACAGCAGGACCCTGGGAGAATCCGAAATCCGCGATGCGTTCCAAGATGCTCAAGTCCAAGTCCTAAAGCCGCAAGATGTTTGCCATTTGGGCAGGGCTTCTAAACCGGTAACAATCAAGGTCCATTGTTGGTTTCCCCTAAGAATCAACCAGATCTAGGTTGGGTTTGTCAAAGAGCTTGGTTTTGAGGTTTCCCCAAACATCAAGGGTATATGCCATTTCTCGCAGTCATGTCATGGGAAAAGTATCATGATCAGCTGATCATCCTTTACAGTTTTGTAACAGGGATATCATCAGAAAAATGGATTGAAGATGATTGAAGACAGCACAAAAGTGGAGCCAACTGCCCACTGAAACTTTTTCGATTTTTGAAGGGGATCTGTTTGGTGGTCAGCCATTGCCAGTTAAACGTTAATGGGTGTTTGTATTAATATAAACTAGCCATCGGGGGGGCTAACTCCCATGTTGATTCTCAGCCAATCACACGGAAATCATCCCATCTCTAAACACACAAAGCTTGGCTCCGTTGTTTCGGCAGGCCAGGCACCTTCAAACACGAGGACTGCGACGTGAAATGCGCATCCAGAAGCATCTTCACTCCTTGGCCAGGACAACTTGGAGCTAACCCTAGGCAGTTGTGGATTTAAGGCTGGGGACACATTGGGCTTATCATTATTTTCCCGGTAAATAATCTTGACACATACCCTTTCGAGATGAGAACTTTCCTGGTCAATGTCGAAGCAGGCCAGTTGGAAAATCCGGTTCAATCCACGTACAAGGACTACATTGATTGCATTTGTGGTGTTAATCATAAGATACGTATTGGAAAGGTGAAGGATATTCTGCAGAGATTCTCCTCTCCAATATCTTCCCACAAAATCTAGTTTTGAAAGTTGGCAACCTGGAAAACGATGATGATTGCTAACTCAAAACGATAGTCTGACGGCTTTATCTGGCAGAATTGAGAAGGCAAGAGTAAACAGCAATTGCAGTGCTCGAAACAAACAGAACAAAATAACCAAACCGAACTCAACCAACCCAACCAAATCAACGCAAAAAGAAAGGAAAAAACGTGTTGATCTTGTCGTAGAACTCCCAACAAAGAAATGTTGCTGACAGCAGTGCCTTGCGCCCCTGTCTTGAGTACCGGGGCTCGATACAAATCTCCCTGTGCTTGTCGAAGCCGGTCCCGGTGCTTCAAGTACCTCAAGCAGTTGGATTGTCAAACCCTCCATGTTTCGTCGGTCACTTTTTCTGCACCAGGTATCCATGAGAACAAAATTGTAGGGGTTGTATATCGGATGTATGTATATATATATATATATGATATATATATATATATATGTACATATGTGCATATGTATGTGCATATGCATCTGAATGTTTACACACACAGGGAGAGCAAGTATAGTTCTACATCTTGGCCAAAGGACATAGATCCATTTGATTCAAGTGATACAAGTAGTGGAGCCCCTCTCCTCCAAATATTGATCACAGTATATATATATAAGTATACGTAAGTGTACTAGATCATGCCCACAGTCCGGCAAAAAAAAAAATCTTCATCTGTGGAAGTGTCCCATTTACAGTTGAATAACCTAACAACCCATTTGGGGTATATGAATGGTAAATGTTACCATATATGGCATACATGGATCCTATGGGATATATACCCGCACCATGGACAACAATAACCAGGTCAGTTCCATCCAACTTTTTTGTTGACGCTCCCACGCAGCGGCGCACGCTTCTCTCAACGACCAATGCTGCCGTCCGTCGTAGTCCCCAGCCTACTTTGCCTCTTGCTCCGCTCGCCCCTGGCGTCCACTCGGCAGGTAGTGGGGCTTCCTTTGGACCCTCAAATTTTCAAAGCAAATCTGGGACAGCAGGATTGCGCTGGGTTAATCCCTGAAGTTGGGACCTGCGTGTGTTGTATTTTCTACATGTGTCTTTTTTGGGGTTCAAATGTCCCAAAACAAAGCCCCACACTTCGTACCACAGACCGAGATCTTTTTGAGAATGTAACTTGGCCTCCCTGAGTCTGTACAAATGAAAGGATTCAAATGGCCAAAATCAGCGCATCCCCAGGCACTGGGCAGCATTTTGGGGTCTCAAATGGAGTCGTTCGGGATTCAGCGGAAGTGTAAACGAATTCTGCCTTCTAAAAAATGATTCTGTTTTGAACAAGTGATGGTATGAAAAGAAGATGCTCCAATATTTTGAGACACGCCTTGAACTACCACAGTGATCTGTTCCATGCGGGCTGATGCACTCATGCAACGGGGTTTTGTTGGGAACCTTGGAGACAAACTGGAGCCTCATGGCAAAACGTTCCTTGACCTGCACACTTTGTTCAAGTGACTCAGGCAAACTGAAGCGGATGAATTGTTAGTTTCAACTCATCGCTCTCAGAGAACGAATTGGCGACCAGCGCCTATCACCGACTTGCTGATGCTGTCTGGTCATTTCTGAGATTGAAACAGTCACATGAAAACATCAGGAACCTGTCAAAAATGCCTGAAGGGTGTCTACTTCTTCAACTTCAAGTCCTCCAATTCCTTCTTCAGCGCTGCGATCTCCTGCTTCTGCTCATCAATCTTCCGTTCATCCTGCGCTTGCTGCTTCTGAAGCATCTGATCATTCACAGACGGCCCCACTGGGCCCAAGGGCACAGGCACCCCCAACCCAAAGCCACCATAGCCAAAAGGGCTGAACGGACTCAGAGGTGCGTAGCCGAATGGCGAAATCATCGGTGCTCCAATCCTTGATGGTTTGTTGGCCTCCTCACTTTCAGGACTATCCATCCCCAAAAAAAGAATAAAATCAGACCTGTGTCGCTATGCCACCCAGCATCCCAATAGAGATGCGCGGTCCCGCACTTCCCCTGGCCGTGCCACCCCTAGGCACAGCCGCCCGGGGCGGCGGTCGGGCAGCAAAGCCGCGGCTGGAGCCGCCCATGCGGCCGCCGGAGCGCGCCGCCTCCGCAGCGTCCATCGGAAGCAGCACCAGCAGTAGCGCCAGGGCGGCAGCTGCGGAGGCGCGAAGACCCCACCAGGAGGTGCCCTGATATTGGAGAGTTGACCGGGTTGGAGGGTGGCAGGATTTGAGAATAGTTTTTGAGATGATTGGGGGTGTGATGGTCGGGAAGGATCTCATTAAGAAGCCAGGTTGCAAAGCCAAGTTTGACCATCCAAAAACCTCACTTTAACCATTGCAGCCCCCTTTGATCCTTCATTTTGGCCCCACACCTGGTTTTGAACCTCCGCCTTGGCGACGGGCTGCTCGCTCCACCCACTGAATCTATCTCTGCCATCCTTCCGGTCCTTGCCCTTGGGCAATTGTCGGGCAGCAGGCGCAGATCCCGGCAGACCTGGCACAAAGCATGTGACCAGGGCAGCCAGAGCGCCAAGGACCAGAGCAAGACCAACGATGCGTGCCATGGTTTTGAAGGAGAGATGAACTACGGCGGTCAGGAACAAAAATGGCTGCACATGAGGGGCGTGACCGCGTGGTTCTCACAGTTGTTTCTCAAAGTCGTGGGTTCGCATCAACCGTTCTGAAAGTTTGGCAGTATATGAATTGTTTCGATCAAAATCACAATCAGATTATGTCATATGGGATTATCAGAGTTTCGTCGTTTTGACATGGCCATCAACTGAGGTTTCCTCCGGTTTCAATTCAACCATAACAAACACACGTTTGATCCCGCCCGGCCATGGGCCCCATGGGCCTCGATGTTTCGAGGAGCATCCACGATGTGAGACTCGAATTCGGCTGCGTCATCCGGAATCTCACTGGGACCTCAAGATGCAGCCACTCAGCGTTGAGAAGATTCCTGGATCCAACAATGTTTGTGTTTTGATAAGGTAAACCGGGTAAACCGAAGAGTAAACATCCCCATTTGGTGGGAATGTAACTGGTATACCCATAGCGATGAAGAATTTTCGGCCCAACTGGTTGATTACTGGGCTGGTTTGGCAGATCCCAAGCCATGATGGGAGACTTCACCGAGTCACAAGCCATGGCGCCATGGCGCTGTCCAGCAAACCCACCTTGAGCCTTCGACGCGAGCCTGGAGCCTGGTTCCCACTCCAGGATTTTTTGCCATCGGTTGGGTGATGTCCAACAATCAAAACACTGGTATGTTTACAATTAGATGCCCATGTGAAGAAATGACAACTCGTGTCTTTATTGAAATAGTAATTGACGACTGGTGATAGAAAATGCACATGCATACGTATATATGTTTTAACTTATTTATTTATTTACTTATTATATATGTATTTATTATTTATTTATTTATTTAATTATTTAATTAATTTATTTATTTATTTTATTTATTTTATTTATTTATTTATTATTTATTTTATTTTTCACAATGGATGAATTTATGATTTCTTATGAACTGATTCTGATTGTATTGTTTTCCAAGATTGAAGCCCCTGCCTTTGCTTTGGCCCAACCATTCAATCGTCAAAGAACAATCTCGTAACGTCCAAAGCCCATATTCATTTCTGAGCCCCCTCCAAAAAAGCAAAAGAAATACCTAAAACTGATTACAGTATTGTTTTGAAAATAATCCGGCCACAATCACCTTATTTCCTGATTGGTTTAGACCTCCTTGGTTTCCACATTGCAAATATCCAAAAATGTCACTTTCTGAGTGCGAGACAGTTTCCACCACTGTCCTCAGTGGCGACTATGTGCCTGTGTATGTGTATGTGCATATGCATTATGTATATGTGTGTGTGTTTGCATATGTATATGCATATGCAAATGTCTATTTAGATGTATATGTGTATGTACACGTATAGGTATAAGCAAATGTATATGTGTATGTGTGTATGCAAATGTATATGTCAGAGTATATGTATATGCGTATGTATATGCGTATGTATACGCATACACATACGCATACGCATACGCGCACGTGTGCGTGTACGTGCGTTGTACGTGTACGTGTACGTTCAGGTATATCTATATTTATTGTATATGTATATGTAATATGTCTATGTATATGCAAATGCATATGTATATGCATATGTGGATGCATATGTATATGAATATGTATGCGTATGTATCCTATATTCATATTTAACCATAGTTAGTCAATGATTTCTTTTGTACGTATGTATGTATGTATGCATGTATGCATGTATGCATGTATGCATGTATGCATGTATCTATCTAATCTAATCTAATCTAATCTATCTATCTATCTATCTATCTATCTATCTATCTATCTATCTATCTAATCTATCTATCTATCTATCTATCTATCTATATATATATCTATCTAATCTATCTATCTATCTATCTATCTATCTATCTATCTATATATATATCTATCTATATACATCTATCTATATATATATATATCTATCTATATATATCTATCTATCTATGTCTATCTATGTCTATCTATGTCTATCAATGTCTATCTATGTAAATCTATGTAAATCTATGTAAATCTATGTAAATCTATGTAAATCTATGTAAATCTATGTAAATCTATGTAAATCTATGTAAATCTATGTAAATCTATGTAAATCTATGTCAATCTAGGTAAATCTATGTCAATCTATGTCAATCTATGTCAATCTATGTCAATCTATGTCAAGCTATGTCAAGCTATGTCAAGCTATGTCAATCTATGTAAAACTATGTAAATCTATGTAAAACTATGTAAATCTATGTAAATCTATGTAAATCTATGTAAATATGTATCTATCTATCTATCTATCTATCTATCTATCGATCTACCTACCTACCTACCTACCTACCTATCTATATATCTATCTATTGATCTATCGATCTATCGATCTACCTATGTATCTATGCATCTATGTATCTATGTGTTTATGTATCTATGTATCTATGTATCTATGTATCTATGCATGTATGCATGCATGCATGCATGCATGATGTATGTATGTATGTATGTATGTATGTATGTATGTATGTATGTATGTATGTATGTATGTATGTATGTATGTATGTATGTGTGAATCGGACGTTCCCTTGTATATGTCCGTGTATTGGTTGCAAGGCGATCTGTTTCGCGTTTCTCAATGGTCAACTAGAGACAGGCTTCAGCATGGCTCACTTTTGCTAGGAGCTGTGCAGTTGGGGTCTTGAGCCAAAAGGACCATCGGTATTGCGGTCCCTTGGCATGCGGAAAGATGGCTATATACATGGGGGTTATGTACTTCACTCTTATTGTACCCCCATTCGCACCCCCCACGCATGACTGATTTCATCAGTCACGCGCAGGAGAGCCGTCTTAAAGTCCCTTTCACTGCGTTTACATTGATTGAATTATGGAGAGTCAGAAATTTCTACCGCGGCTTGCTACGTCTACACCTGTCCATCCAGATAAAATAAAAAAAGGGGAATCTAGCATCTGTACATGACATTCAAGTCCACCCGTAGCGGCGTTGCCGGCAGTGGGTTTCATGCATGCATGACATCAGCTACAAAGATGACAATGAAAATAGAGCTAGAGATTACACTCCTGCTCTTCTGAGACAAAGATGTGAGACTTAGACCGCAGCCAGAACTCAACTCACGATGCATTGCGTTTCAGATAGCATCGTATCCAAAAAAAATGTTCGGATGTGAATCACGTGAATTAGCCGGCTCAGATTCCTCTCAAGAGTCATCGGACATAAAGAAGAGGTTGATTTTGAGCATTGATTGCTGACCCATATGCTCAGCAGTAGGACCTATGCAGAGGTCAGATACCTTTATCACCACCCTCTGTATCCATAGTTGCGTCCTGTATAGTTCGAGTTCCAATCGCCACCTCGATGTGATGGTGTTCCTCTGCCAGCTCCGCGGTTTTCCCATTCTCTCCACGGTGGTGGCTCTTTTGGAGGTGCTTTTGGAGCCTGCTTTGGCAATGGAGCAGCTTCTCCTGCATTGGTTGATGAAGCAGAGCGTGATTGTCCAGCATCATGAGTGGCACTAGGCTTCGGTACAGCTTTGGCTTTGGCTTCCGCAGTCCTGCGGACGTCATCGGCCGTAGGCATGTAAGCAATTGCAGCTACATGTGCATCTGTCATGTGTGCTCCCCATCTTGGTCTCTGTCCATCACGTCTCTTGCGTTTGTTGTGATCCTCAATTGCATCGCATAACCTGTTCAGCATTGGTCCAGGTAATCGCTGGCCATTTTGTAGAATCAAGTGCATGACTGCGATACGTCTGAGTTGTGGTCGGCAAGCACAAAGGATGTCAACTGGATTAAGTGTCACGGCAGCCTGATAATCCACATTTCTGAAGAAATAGACAGCAGTCACTTGATATGCTCCAGCAATCACTCGTCGAATAAACGTCGATTGTGCATCCAATGAATTGCGGGCAAGCGTTGATTTCCTCATCTCTTCCTCAGCAGTGTCACCCTTTACTAAAGGTTCGATGTTCTCATCGCCAAACATCACTTGCAAGTCAGAGAACTCATATCCACATTCCAGTATGTAGGTGACCAGCTTCTTGAACACGAGGGAACCATGATACGCATTTGTGAAGCCCTCTTCTCCCATATCGTCTCTTGTATTTGGGTTGCCAACCTCCTGGTAAAGTTCTCTCATCTGATCATCAGTCGGCTCAATGAGAAATCCGTTATCGTCTTCCCCTAGGTATGGAACTCTGGGATCAAGATCCAATCGATATCTGGGGTTTCTCTGAAATTGTTGCCAACCACATTCAATATCATAACAGAAATTCCGTTGGAAGCGTCTGTAAATCCTGAGTATGTTGCTTCCAATTTGCAGCAATAAGATCTTGATGAGATCGGGTTGAGCATCGCCAATCTGACATGGTTCGGAAGGTAGAACTTTGGATCCAAATTCCACTCGTTTCAACCATGCGGGATATTCAATGATGACATTTCTTGCCTCTCCAGCATGATATTCTCCGATGTCAATGTTGGCGTCATTTGCTCCTTCCTCTTCAATTGTATCGGCCTTTTCACGTTCTTCTGTGAGGTATTCATC